CAATAATGGTCAAAGTGTTCAACCTATCCCAACCCAAGAAGATCATAACTTGCAACAAAACAGAACTTACCAAACAGGATGGAACACCTATGGACCCAACAGGACAAATCAACATTGTTCTTTGGCAGGACTAAGTTGATTCCAATCAAGACTTACATCTTCAAGTGTAAGTGCCCCTAAGGCACGGGTTTATCCCTTGTTTTGATTTAGTAATCGTTTAATTAATAATCTGTAAAAGTCACACTAGGTGCCTCATCACGCGCGCCGTAAGTGGTATCGCATTTCCAAACAGAACGGATCTATTGTGCAATTCAATAATTCGATCGATTTCGCAAGCACTCGTGGTTTAATAGAAAGAAATTGTCTGTCGTTTTTATCGAAGGAAGGAAAGGTCTTTTTTGTGTCAACTCTCGCCAGATCCGGCAACAATGTAAGTTTAATTTACCTCGAGTGTTTCTATAGCTAATTTCTTGTCCCTAATTTTGTGAATCAATTATTTTTAGCTTCACGGTCAAATACGACATTTAATAAAGGAGGCGTTTAACAGAAAGAAATTGGGGCGATATTTGTTGTGTCGATCAGTGAGATTCGTACGGTCCAGCTAGCGGCGATCAAGCGTCGCTATAGTGAAGATTGGAGGAATTCAAGATATTAGCGGGAGTTTGTCGACTGCATACAATAGCCATGGCGCAGGCAAATCCTACGATGGAAGAAGTCACGAGCGAACAGAACGATGACCATCAAGTCGGCGTTGAAACGACTGAAAGGGACAGAAGAGAAAGAATCCCTACCGAAAAGGGCGAGTCACTTCGCCTGGAAAGGCTTGTTGAGGAGGGAAAGGCCGCAGGAGTCGCTCTGAGGAGGCAGATAACGAAGGTAAACTCTTTACTCGAATCGATAAAAGAATTAGACGCAAGAGTCCTAGAGCAAGAGCGTGACAGTCTAGACTTGTGTAGGGATAGGATGAATGACACTCATCACAATTATTACAAGGAATTGCATGACACTAAGGAAGCAGATGAAGCGTACGAGTGGTTTGATATTTGGGATCGCGAACATTTCCAATGTCGCATTAGAATTAACGAAGCCTTGCTTAGTGTGGAAAGACAAACAAGCAATAAAATGTCTCTGGTTTTGTCAAAATTATCCAAGCGTTCTTCCTCCTCTTCAGTAAGATCTAGAAGAGCAAAGGCAGCGCCCAAGGCAGCGTGTCTTCAACTAGAAATGGACTTTCTAGAAAGGGAAGCAGAGTATAAGAAGCTAGTAATGCAAAAGGAGTTAGCTAAGGCAAAGGCTGAGGAAGAAACCATGCGCAAGATCGAAGAAGAAGAAAGGAGGGAGGATTTCCCCCAGATCCCGAAGCATGAAACACCAATTCTAGACGTCAAACCCAAGCTATCGCCCAAAGAGGAACCTAGTGAAACGAAACCTTTGCAAGATAACGGGTTCTTAAACCCAAAGGCTCCGCCCTTTGAACCCCCAAATGGCCCAGTTGTACGCCAAGGCATGCAAGCTGGTGAATCACCATCACGTGAATCAAAGCCGGAGATTTCCGACAGAACAGACGAGTTAACCTCGGTGGTGAAGCTTGTCGCCGAACATCAAAGAATGAGTCTGCTTCCAGCACAGCAGCCCCCGGTTTTCTCTGGAAACCACTTCGATTACGCAGCATTCATCAGTGCCTTCGAAAGTTTAAAAGAGTGCCAAGTGAGCGATCCAAAGCAGAGGCTCTATTATTTAAACCAGTTCACATCTGGGGACGCTAAGGAATCAATTCAAGGCTTCATTAACCTCGACTCTCCAGATTCCTATGATAAGGCTAGAAAGGTATTAAAGGAAAGATTCGGCCATCCTTATCGCGTTGCACAGGCCTACAAGGATAAGCTGAATGCTTGGCCTCCTATGAAAGAAGGGGACGGCGCGCGTTTGCAACAGTTTGCTGATTTCCTGGTGCTTTGCGAACAAGCCATGAATACGTTAAAGTACATGGAAGGCCTTAACTCCGAGGACACTCTTAGAAGGATAACTGCAAAGCTGCCAAGTAACATGGGAGTGAAATGGTGCCGTTTTGCTAATAAGATGTTAAAATCGGAAGAAAGACTTTCTACGTTTCATGACGTTGTCAAATTTGTAACACAAGAAGCAGCCTTGGCAACCGACCCAGTATTCTCAACTGAAGCCCTCAAGGAAGCAAGGAAAGATGAGTTCACTAGCAGTAGCAGCAGTGACAACAACACCAACAGGAACACAACCTGGCGAAACAATGGAAGAAAAGGCAAGAGTACAAGTAGCTTCTTGACAAGTGCCACACCTCACGATGATCAACCGCCACCAGGTTCTTCATGTCCATTCTGCAACAGTCAGCATCACGATCTGGAGAAGTGCTCAAGTTTCAAAAAGAAGACTGTTAAAGAAAGAAGAGCATTTATCCAAGAAGCTAGAATATGTTTCGGTTCTCTCTGCTACGGCCACATGTCAAGAAGATGTCGAAACCGGAAGGTGTGTAAGACATGTAGTATGCCCCACCCGACCATCCTTCATGATGAAAGCAAAATTTCTCCCAAGCAAGGTAGTGAAGACCAAGCAAGAGTAGTTCAGGCAGCTGAAGCAACTAGCAGCTGTACAAGTACCTGTAATGCTACTGGAGTCACCGATGCCATCACAAACTCTATGATTGTTCCGGTTCGAATGTACCACCAAGACAACCTTGAAAGACAAGTTGTAATTTATGCGCTGCTCGACCCAGCTAGTAACGGAACTTTCGTTAAGGAAAGCATACTCGAAGAACTGCAAGTTAATGGAGTCGAGACTCAATTGAAGCTAAACACAATGCATGGTTCAGAAGTAGTTCCTACTCGTAGAGTGAGCGGTCTTATCGTGGAAAGAATGGATAGAGCGGTCTACATCAAGCTTCCCAAGACGTACTCAAGGAACGAAATACCATCGAGAAGAAACGAGATCCCAAGGCCAGAGTCGGCAGCAAAATGGCCACACCTAAGTCATTTAGCCAACAAGATTTACCCGTACCAAAACGATCTGCAAGTGGGACTTTTGATCGGCTCAAACTGTCCAAACGCCATAAAGCCAAAGCAGGTCATTCCTGGTAGAAGCAGCGATCCTTATGCCATCCGTACCCTCCTTGGTTGGGGCATCATTGGTCCAGTGACAGGAAGTACAACCACAGAAGATTCGGATGTCTTATGTCACAGAGTTGCAGTGAAGGAGATCGGTAGCGAAGAATTACCTTCCCATAGTTTTGTTGTTGAGACACACGTAAAAGAGATCATCTCTCCAGAAGCAGTTAAGAGAATGTTCGAGCGAGATTTCAATGAAGGGAAGCACGCGGCTCAACAAACCCTTTCCATGGATGATCGAAGATTCATGGCAAAGGTTAAAGAAGGAATTACCCATCGTTCAGATGGACACTATGAACTGCCATTGCCACTACGAAATGAATCGTTAGCCCTGCCGAATAACGAGAAGCTTGCAGTCCATCGCCTCCAGCAGTTGAAACTGAGATTTCGAAGAGATGAGAAATACAAAGAAGACTACACGGCATTCATGAATGACATGATTAAGAAGGGATATGCTGAGAAGATACCAAAGGACGAAGTTAGGAAAGATGGAAAGACATGGTACCTTCCTCGCCATGGTGTCTTCCACCCTCAGAAGCCGGACAAGATCCGCGTAGTCTTCGATTGCTCCGCGGAGTACAAAGGGGAGGCTCGTAACAAGCATCTTCTCCAAGGCCCAGATCTTACCAACAAGCTTGTTGGAGTGCTATCGAGGTTCAGAAGGGAGCCAGTTGCCTTCATGGCAGATATAGAAGCAATGTTTCTGCAGGTCCACGTCACTGAACATTGTAGAGATCTGTTATGCTTCTTGTGGTGGGAGGATGGCGATGTAAACAAGGAGCCACGATATACCGGGTGACCGTTCATCTCTTTGGAGCTGGTTCGTCTCCTGGTTGTTGTAACTTTGCGCTAAAGAAGACCGCTGATGACCATGAACAAGAGTTTGGCTTCGAACCAGCCGAGTTCCTGAGGAAAGATTTCTACGTTGACGACGGTCTGAAATCTGTACCTTCTACAAGTCAAGCAAAGGAGCTCATACGCAAGACTAAAGAGATGTGTCGGCGCGGAGGATTTAACCTGCATAAATTTACAAGCAACAAAAGAGAAGTTATCGAGTCCATACCAGTGGAAGATCGTGCGAAAGGCATAAAGGAGCTGAATCTCGAGAAGGATGAACTGCCTATGGAAAGAGCGCTTGGTGTGAGTTGGTGTATTGAGTCAGACGCTTTCAAGTTCCGGATCGTGATGCAAGATCGCCCTTTAACGCGAAGAGGAATTCTGTCCACTGTTAGCAGTGTGTACGATCCGTTGGGGTTTCTGGCACCTCTAATCTTGACAGGAAAAGGCCTTCTGCAAGATCTGTGCAGAGGTAAAGTGGAATGGGACGACCCTATCCCCGAGAACATAAGATCACGTTGGCTGAAATGGAGGGATGAGTTACACCACTTAGAAGATCTCTCCGTTCGAAGATGCTTTAAACCAGAAGGTTTCGGAACGGTGATATCAACACAGCTTCATCACTTCTCAGACGCAAGCACGACTGGGTATGGCCAGTGTTCATACGTTCGTTTGGTAGACGACAAAGGCCAGATCCACTGTTCCCTGATTATGGGCAAAGCAAGAGTAGCTTCTTTAAAGATGGTCACCATACCACGTCTGGAACTCACAGCAGCTGTGGTGTCAGTGAGGGTCGGCGAGATGCTCCGTCAGGAGCTCCAGTATGAAAGTGTAGAAGAAATCTTCTGGACTGACAGTAAAGTCATGTTAGGCTACATAAAGAACGACTCGAAGAGGTTCCACGTGTTCGTAGCCAACCGTGTTCAACAAATAAGGGACCAAACCTCACCTAGCCAATGGAGACACGTCGAAACGAAGTGTAACCCAGCCGATGATGCATCGCGTGGTATCACTGCCAAGGAACTCGTTGAAAGTTCAAGATGGATTTCAGGGCTAGAGTTCCTTTGGACGCCCGAAGACCAGTGGCCACAACCCCTCGAGGCTCAAGACCTCATTACGCCATCAGACGATCCAGAGGTGAAGAATTTGACTTCTTATGCAACAAGTACGCAAGAGCCATGGAACCTTGTTGAGAGTTTAAACTACTTCTCGGACTGGCATAGGGCGTGTAGAGCCGTTGCTATCTGTCTACGCTACAAGCAAAAACTCCGTCAACTGGCGTCCTCCAAGAAAGAAAGTTGTGCTAAACCAACAAAACGTCAGCAAAGGCCTGCCCTGACAGTGGAAGAGATTTTATCAGCTGAAAGGGAAATCCTCAAGGCAGCCCAGAGGGTCGCCTTTTCAAGGGAGATGGGTCTGTTAAAGCCGTTTCAAGAAGGACAAGATAGATCATCCGCGCAGCAGAAGAAGAGAGCCATGAAGGCGACGAGCTCGTTGTACCGCCTCGACCCATTCATTGACCATGATGGAGTGCTACGAGTTGGTGGTCGGATCCAACGAGGCAATTTTACAGATGAAACAAAGTTCCCAGTCATCCTTCCGAGAAAGGGCCATGTTACAGGTCTGATCATTAAGCACTACCATGAGAAGGTTCAACATCAAGGTCGTGGAATGTCCTTAAACGAGATCCGAGCCAATGGATTCTGGGTTATCGGCGGAACATCAGCTGTAGCCTCCAAAATTGCAAATTGTGTCACCTGCCGGAAGTTACGAGGTGCAGTCCAGGAGCAGAAAATGTCCGACCTTCCGGAGGATCGTCTGGAACCGGCACCCCCCTTCACCTACTGCGCTGTCGACTACTGTGGACCATGGTATATTAAGGAGGGGCGCAAGGAGGTAAAGAAGTATGTTGCCCTCTTCACGTGTATGGCATCAAGAGCCCTACATCTTGAAGTCTCGAACTCCTTGGAGACTGACTCGTTCCTCAACGCCCTGCGTCGTTTCATCTGCAGAAGGGGTCCTGTACGTCAGCTGCGCAGTGATCAAGGAACGAATTTCATCGGAGCAAAACGAGAGCTCCGCAAAGCGTTGCAGTCTATGGATCAAGGCAAGATCAACACTGAGATGTTGAAAGAGAATTGTGATTGGATAACCTTTAAGATGAATTTCCCATCAGCCAGCCATGCAGGAGGAGTATGGGAGCGCCAAATCAGGACCATTCGCAGTGTACTATCAGCCCTCCTGGAGAAGAGTGCAAGTTGCCTGGACGGAGAGTCCTTTCACACGCTGATTTGTGAAACCGAAGCAATCGTGAACAGCCGTCCCCTGACAGTGGATAATCTAAGCGATCCAGGGTCACTATCTCCACTGATGCCAAATCATATCCTCACAATGAAAGCAAAGCCAGTTCTACCTCCGCCTGGCGTGTTTCAAAGAGAAGGCCTGTACTCAAGGAAACGTTGGCGACGAGTCCAGCATTTATCATGCGAATTCTGGGACCATTGGAGGAAGGAATTTCTTCATAGCTTACAAGAGAGGTCCAAGTGGACGAGACCACGCCGTAACATGCAAGTTGGCGACGTAGTTATCGTTAAAGACGACAACAAGGCGAGGAATCGGTGGAGCCTTGCTCGTGTGATAGAAACGTACCCCAACAAGGCCGATGGACTGGTGCGTAGTGTCAAGGTAGCGATTGGAGACCCTGATATCTCCAGCACTGGAAAGAGAGTGCACCCCCCATCAGTTTTGGAAAGACCCATTCAAAAGCTTGTCCTGCTGCTGCCAAGAGAGGAAAGACTGGGATTCCCGCATGGGGAGCCATTCAACGAACACATTCAAAAGGAGGACTAGACACGGACATGTCAGTGAACTCTGAACTTGTTACTTTAATTATGTTTCGTTTTGTTTGAAATACGGTGATTTCAAGGGGAGCCATGTAAGTGCCCCTAAGGCACGGGTTTATCCCTTGTTTTGATTTAGTAATCGTTTAATTAATAATCTGTAAAAGTCACACTAGGTGCCTCATCACGCGCTCCGTAAGTGGTATCGCATTTCCAAACAGAACGGATCTATTGTGCAATTCAATAATTCGATCGATTTCGCAAGCACTCGTGGTTTAATAGAAAGAAATTGTCTGTCGTTTTTATCGAAGGAAGGAAAGGTCTTTTTTGTGTCAACTCTCGCCAGATCCGGCAACAATGTAAGTTTAATTTACCTCGAGTGTTTCTATAGCTAATTTCTTGTCCCTAATTTTGTGAATCAATTATTTTTAGCTTCACGGTCAAATACGACATTTAATAAAGGAGGCGTTTAACAGAAAGAAATTGGGGCGATATTTGTTGTGTCGATCAGTGAGATTCGTACGGTCCAGCTAGCGGCGATCAAGCGTCGCTATATCAAGCACATCAAAGTAAAAGACAACTGGTATGGTGAGAGATATGTTAGTTCTCCAAAAGACACCAGCAACTACTCAGCAAACTGTTGCACCTGAACACAAGGATGCTTTACCTGAAGTAAATGTATTGCCTGACACGATCAATCAGATTGATGCAGTAATTTGTGGAGTGAAGGAGATATCCTGTTTTAAAGTCTGTTTTTCTTGTAATTCAAATATTACAGGAAAAAATGGCCAAGGAAACTGCACAAGATGCTGAATGACAGTGCAACTTCAATTGTGTAAAAGTCAGTGCTACATGAGATTACAATTCATGAAAATACCAGACATTAATATTATGCAGCTGTCTATTTTCAGTGCGGAAACAGCCATTTTAGTGGCATTAGTGAATGTCAGTATTGATAACTGCAGTTGTGATGACCTTGCTGAACACTTGTTTAAGCTCAATACATTAGTTGTTACTTATGACTCAGCCACCAATAAGCTTCTTAATGTAACAAAAAAAGACATTTAGTTCGCTTCCCTTATAGTTCAGGACTTAGAACATGATTAACTCAAACACATGTTTACAACATTTGCTAAGTGACATGAACTTTTGCATTGTTATTGTTCACAGTATAATATCTTAATATGTTTCTTTCAATATACCATGTTTTTTTAGAGCAAAAAATGTATGTTATGCAAACTTTTATCAAAGTACACAAACTTTTAGACTTTGATTCTTAGAATTTTAAACAATAGACATTTACGTTTATAAAAACCACATTGCTGTAATTCTGGTTGTTTATCTTTCTAATGCATTCTCACAGCACTCACCTTTCTAATAGAAATTACTAGTCATATAAACACAATAGCCCTTTACTGAGAGGAAAATCTAGCTTCATTACTGAATGAAAATAAATGAATCAACAATCCCTGAATAACAACTGTTGAGTGTGTTGCCGCTAACTCTTACAATGGAAAAATGCATTGAATCATGATTACAAAAACAACAATAGTCGTCATCTTCAATGTACAAAATTTTCATTCATTGATTTGTCCTTAGCAACAGAAGTCTCTCTGGTAAACAGCCAAAATTGAACCAGTAGCAAATCTTCCAGTTGTCGATTTTTATTCTCAGCTGAAAGAAATGCTAACACCAAAGCCACTGAATATGTAACTTTTTTGGTATATAGGTTTTCTTCACTTTCTAGGGAAGTTTGAACCTCACTGTCCGTCAGCGATACGGATTTTGTTTTGTGTTTTAGCCGCCATAATTCAAACAAAATACAAAGAACTCCTATTTAGAATGGTGAAGGCTTTGCTGTTCATTCATCAACCTGACCAAGTGGTGCCAAAGGCAAGTGACATGTCAGCAACTGATTGGCTACATCAACACACATGAAGAAATACAATATTTTTTCACATGTGTTGTTATGTGGAGTGTAATATTGAGGTGGAGTGTAATATAGAGTCAATAAAGTATCAATATTACTAATATTGGTATTATTGGAAATCTGACAAGCTCTTTCTGACTTTTTTGTCATCCTTGTCCCTAATTTATTTTAGATCATTCAAGCATTGCTTCTAATCAGCACCAAAACACCATCATCCTCTACCAAAACAAACACACCACTGCTTCATGAAAAGTTTGTCAATGAAAAGTTCTAAGGTATTGAATAGCATATATTGATTATTATTCACTGGTAAATATAAGGTAGTCAGTTATCTTGTGTTGTTTACAAATGTCAGAACTTTTCCACAGTTTAGTGACTCTCCATTATTTATTATCAGAATTGTTGTCCAAGGATTTGTGTTTATCAAAAGGAAACATTTTCTACTTCAAGCCCTAAAAAAAAAAAGAAACAATCAGAGGGGAGCCTTTTTGGGTTTTCTGTGGGTTTTCTTTGCGGCACACTCCAAGCACATGGCTTTGATGTACAAGGGACATCACTTGCACTTTTGCATTGTTTGACAGTGTTGAGCTTTTTATTTGTATTTGTATCCACAGTGTAGCAGCTTAAGGATTACACCTACCATCAATTTCTGCTGGACAGGGGTAGTATATTTTTCTAATGACAGGGGTAGTATATTTTTCTAATAACACTAGAGCTTGGTCTGACAGTAAGTTTCACTGAATATGTGGGTCTGATCTGACTGTACAATGAAATAACTTGGCTCTTTGAATAAAGCATGCAAGAATAAAAATAAATTAAACAAAAAATAATTTAACAAAAGTAACAGAGTGAAAAATAGCAAAAAATCATTAATTTGAAAATGACCAGAGTTACTGGCGAAGACAAATGTGCAGATAAATAGACAGAATGAAGCATTAGTTGTTACAGTTGTAAAATATTTTTTCGCTTCTAACCTAGCAGAGGTAAACGTCTTTTAAATGGCTTCTTTTTCCTGCAGACCTTTCAGCAAAACGCATTGTTTCGTAATTGGTCAATTTCAATCCAAAGTAATAACTGGGTTTAGTTTATAGGCGATTCTCAAACAAACTGTTTATTAGTTTCAACCTTAATTTTTGGAAGATTATGAAGTTATTTTTTCTCTTGTTATTGTGCGTCCTGATTTTAGCTCGATCAGTGCAAAGTCCGTCTTTTGATGTCAAGCTTCACGGCTCATTGAGCATTCCAATTGCAAGTTTTGTTGAACGCAGTCTGTTCATAAAATATTTTGTCATCAAAAGTACTTAAACTGCAGAATTGTGTATAGCTCTGGTCATCAAGGAACATTCAATCCAGCGGTTATTATGAACAAAGTGCACATGGTACACGGCAACATAAATACGATATACGTGGAAGGATCACTGGATGCCAAGTGCAAATGAACACTTTTTACTTCTTTTTCGGGTTGAATTTAGGACAGAGGCTGTTTTCTCACACAGATAACTTATCAAGAACCTTACAGCAAACAAAGATGTCAGCTATAAGTGGCAAACAGGCAGCTTTGTCTTACAAAAGACGTTCTGCAGAAGATGCGAAACGATACGAGCTTCAGATCATTTTATGATGTAGTTTTGCTGAAAAGTAAAAGCTATCCCTCCATGAGTGGACCGATGTTACCAAGGAGAACTTGCGCACCAAGAAGAATTGAAATTGGCACTGGAGAGCTAACATATCCTGTGACCGCACAAGACTATTACAGGCAAATATACTTTGAAGCTATTGACTTGATGATGAACGCTATTGACCAGCGGTTTGACCAGCCAAGCTTTGATACGTATGCAAAGATGGAGTCTCTCTTAATTAAGACCCTGCATTCGCAGGACAAATCCGAAGAGCTAAAGTTTATGGAAAAACTGTACAACGATGATGTCAATATTTCAGTGTTAACCACCCAGATGGAAATTTTACAAGTGCTGCTGAAGGATGGTAATTATTTTTGTTTGGACGACATCATAGTAAAAATTAAAGAGCTACCCAACCCAGAACGGGAAATGATAAAAGAAGTTATCACGTTATGTAAGGTGATTCTCGTAAATCTAGCAACAAGTGCAGCTGGTGAAAGATCCTTTTCAACTGCCCAGAGGCTAAAAATATGGCTCCGTTCAAGAATGAACCAAGAACAATTTAGTAACCTGACAGTTTTAAACATACACAAAGAAAGAACGGACAGGCTTTCCACCATTGACATAGCAAACAAATTTACCAACCGCAACAAAACAGAAAGCGTAATTTTGGCACTTTTCAAGTAAATGACGTACAGTAACTTTAATATCATTCACTAAATTATTTTCAGTTACCGTTTTGTTTTGCTGTGTAAATATTTTGAATGAATAATTAATCATTTATTGAACTCGGCTTTCGTATGATATGAAGATATACAGATCTCGGAGGGTGTTATCCACTGGGCTCAAGCCTTCAGCTTTGGCGGATAACCCCCTTGATCTGCATAACTATTCATATCATACTCAGCCTCGTGCAATAATTGTTCAGTAATTATACAGCCTTGAGTTCAAGGCAGCTCAAGCAAAATCGTTGGATTTCTGGCTTATTTATAGTAATTAAAGGTTGAAATGAGTAGTAAAACATAACAATCTATGATATTTCAATTTAGTGATTATCAGACCCCATAGCAACATCACTGAAGATGTGGAAAAAAATCAGTAGTTTTATTGTTATTCGCATTCTCCGTCACTTTAGAGAAATTGAATAGAAATCCACAAGCATGCCCCCCCAAAGGTTCCCTGCGGAACTATTGGTAATGAACTATTTCAAAGCTCTTCGAACCATGGAAGAAAATTCAGATACGAGGAATATTTTTATTCTTCCTATGTTATTTTTTATTTTGTATTAAAGGGTTTTGATTGCTTGTAAATTATTATGCATTAAATTAAGACCTTACAATTTACAATAAAAAAAGAGCAAAAAAATACAGAATACACAGTACAAAACAATTCCACATAGCTACAGTACAATAATTAAATCACTAAAGAGAGAGAGAGAGAGAGAGAGAGAGAGAGAGAGAGAGAGAGAGAGAGAGAGAGAGAGCTAGAGTGATCTGGGTATTTGCTACGTGGTTAGATTCTTGTGGGTATTTTCTACGGTACAAAATACCCATTGAGGGTTTTTGCTACGGTAGGAAATACCCATGTGGGTTTTTGCTACGGTAGGAAATACCCATGTGGGTATTTGATACGTTCAATGGGTTTTTGCTACGGTAGCCAATACTCATCTGGGTCTTTGCTACTCCCAAGTGGGTATTTGTTACCGTAGCAAATACTCAAAATGGGTTTTTGTTACCGTAGCAAATACTCAAAATAGGTATTTGACAAATTTTTTACCTATTTCAAGGTTTCATATTAAAGAAAACTATTTTTTTGGTTCTACGGTTTATTACCGAAGAAGTACATCATTAGCGGTCAGCGTTCACACACTTCAACTTTCGTTTTCGTGTTTCACGTGTTCGTCGATGACGGCAACTTTCAAACGGTAAGAAAATAAGATCAACATAGGTTTCTTGTTATATTTCGTCCCTTAAGCAAGTGGTTATCAACGAAATACGCTTTGCAAGCATCCAAGGTATAAGTGTCGATATATTTTTTACAATATTTGAGAAAAAAGCCGATAAACTTGAAGAATGATTGGCCTTCGTAATATCTTACATAATTATCGGTTTACTTATATTTAATTTCCAAATCATATAGATATGAATCGTAGAATGCATTTTTTCTGCTTTGTTCTAACAATGAAGTGGGTGAAAGCTCTTACTTAAAAAATAAAATTGTTTTTTATAAACAGAAATTCCCTTGATAGCAACAAAACATCGATCGATGTTTCAGGACTTTGGATAAGTTATTTTCGATGCTATTATTTATTGTGATCATCTCTTATCCTATTTCAATCCCTGTCAAATCATTGCAATCATCTCTTATGCTGTGTTGATCACTGTCAAATCATTTTAATCAACTGTTATGCTGTGTTGATCACTGTCAAATCATTCTAATTAACTGTTATGCTTTGTTGATCACTGTCAAATCATTCTAATAAACTGTTATGCTGTGTTGATTACTGTCAAATCATTCTAATCATCTGTTCTGCTGTGTTGATAAATTTCAAATCATTCTAATCAACTGTTATGCTTTGTTAATCACTGTCAAATCATTCTAATCATCTGTTATGCTTTGTTGAGCACTGTCAAATCATTCTAATCATCTGTTATGCCTTGTTGAGCACTGTCAAATCATTCTAATCATCTGTTATGCTGTGTTGATCACTGTCAAATCATTCTAATCATCTGTTCTGCTGTGTTGATCACTGTTAAATCATTTTAATCATATGTTATGCTGTGTTGATCACTGTTAAATCATTGCAATCATTTCTTATACTCTAGTGATCACTGTCAAATCATTCTAATCATCTGTTCTGCTGTGTTCATCACTGTTAAATCATTTTAATCATATGTTATGCTGTGTTGATCACTGTTAAATCATTGCAATCATTTCTTATACTCTAGTGATCACTGTCAAATCATTCTAATCATCTGTTCTGCTGTGTTCATCACTGTTAAATCATTTTAATCATATGTTATGCTGTGTTGATCACTGTTAAATCATTGCAATCATTTCTTATACTCTAGTGATCACTGTCAAATCATTCTAATCATCTGTTCTGCTGTGTTCATCACTGTTAAATCATTTTAATCATATGTTATGCTGTGTTGATCACTGTTAAATCATTGCAATCATTTCTTATACTCTAGTGATCACTGTCAAATCATTCTAATCATCTGTTCTGCTGTGTTCATCACTGTTAAATCATTTTAATCATATGTTATGCTGTGTTGATCACTGTTAAATCATTGTAATCATTTCTTATACTCTAGTGATCACTGTCAAATCATTCTAATCATCTGTTCTGCTGTGTTGATCACTGTTAAATCATTTTAATCATATGTTATGCTGTGTTGATCACTGTTAAATCATTGCAATCATTTCTTATACTCTAGTGATCACTGTCAAATCATTCTAATCATCTGTTCTGCTGTGTTGATCACTGTTAAATCATTTTAATCATATGTTATGCTGTGTTGATCACTGTTAAATCATTGCAATCATTTCTTATACTCTAGTGATCACTGTCAAATCATTCTAATCATCTGTTCTGCTGTGTTCATCACTGTTAAATCATTTTAATCATATGTTATGCTGTGTTGATCACTGTCAAATCATTCTAATCATCTGTTATGCTGTGTTGATCACTGTCAAATCATTCTAATCATCTGTTCTGCTGTGTTGATCACTGTCAAATCATTTTAATCATATGTTATGCTGTGTTGATCACTGTTAAATCATTGCAATCATTTCTTATACTCTAGTGATCACTGTCAAATCATTCTAATCATCTGTTCTGCTGTGTTCATCACTGTTAAATCATTTTAATCATATGTTATGCTGTGTTGATCACTGTTAAATCATTGCAATCATTTCTTATACTCTAGTGATCACTGTCAAATCATTCTAATCATCTGTTCTGCTGTGTTGATCACTGTTAAATCATTTTAATCATATGTTATGCTGTGTTGATCACTGTTAAATCATTGTAATCATTTCTTATACTCTAGTGATCACTGTCAAATCATTCTAATCATCTGTTCTGCTGTGTTGATCACTGTTAAATCATTTTAATCATATGTTATGCTGTGTTGATCACTGTTAAATCATTGCAATCATTTCTTATACTCTAGTGATCACTGTCAAATCATTCTAATCATCTGTTCTGCTGTGTTCATCACTGTTAAATCATTTTAATCATATGTTATGCTGTGTTGATCACTGTTAAATCATTGCAATCATTTCTTATACTCTAGTGATCACTGTCAAATCATTCTAATCATCTGTTCTGCTGTGTTCATCACTGTTAAATCATTTTAATCATATGTTATGCTGTGTTGATCACTGTTAAATCATTGCAATCATTTCTTATACTCTAGTGATCACTGTCAAATCATTCTAATCACCTGTTCTGCTGTGTTCATCACTGTTAAATCATTTTAATCATGTTCTGCTGTGTTGATCACTGTTAAATCATTGCAATCATGTGTTATGCTGTGTTGATCACTGTTAAATCATTTTAATCATCTGTTCTGCTGTGTTGATCACTGTTAAATCATTGCAATCATGTGTTATGCTGTGTTTATCACTGTCAAATCATTCTAATCAACTGTTATGCTTTGTTGATCACTTTCAAATCATTCTAATCATCTGTTATGCTGTGTAGATCACTGTTAAATCATCTGTTATACTCTGTTGATCACTGTCAAATCATTGTAATCATGTTATACTGTGTTTATCACTTTCAAATCATTGAAATCATCTTTTATGCTGTGTTCATCACTGTCAAATCATTTTAATTATCTTTTATGCTGTGTTGATCATTGTCAGATCATTCTACTCATCTGTTATGCTGTGCTAACCATTGTCAACTCTATCATTGAGATCAGTTTTCTATTTGTTTGTATTATAGTAACCATGGAAGGTAGTTCTGAAATAAGGAAAAAGTCTCGGGAATCTAAAGTGTGTTCGAGATGTGGGAAATCAGTTATAAATTTATCTCGTCATCAGAAGGATGTACATAAAGTGAATAAGATTTTTCGTCAGGTAGATGTATATATAAATGGAAACAAGAAAGCGCCTAATAGGAAGATAAAGTTTTGTCCGTTATCTCCATGCAAGCATTCAAAGAAAGGTGTCTTTCAACTTCATCATCATTTACAGTCAAATATCCACAAGCTTAATCCCAACTCAAACCAATACTTAGATGCGCTTAAATCTGCTCCGAGAATTGGGCTTCAAGAGCTACGAGATCACATTGCCAAGAGAAAGAAATCCAAAGCAAAGAGCGCCACAACTAAAGATGGTCCTAAAAAGAAAAAATCGAATCAAAATCACCTGTACGTGGAAAGGCCGCAAAAAGGGTGAAATTTTACAAGGGTGACAAGGAAAATGAGTATAGTTTGGTGAATAGAATCGAAGCTGAGGAAGAAATTGAAAATGACTCGGATGATCAATTATTAGAAAATCCTGAAGGAGAAGCAACTATCAGCAGAAACGTGAGTAACCCTGGGCACCTCGCACCGACCTCCTCCAATAGTAATGCAGAGGAGCGCAAACTACATAATGAAGAAAGTTGTGAATCAAAGGTAAGAGAGACGTACAATGATGATGACAGCAAATTAGAGTATGATCAGCAAGTTGATAAAGTGGAACACAAGCTACATAATGAAGAAAGTGGAGATTCAGGCAATGATCATGACAGTAATTTGGAGTATGAAAAAGTAATGGATCAAATGGAATCAAAGGTAGGTGATACACATGATGACCATGACAGCGATTTGGAGTATGATCAACTTGTGGATAACGTGTGGAAAAGAAATGAAGAGTGCAAGAAGCGAAGCTTTAAACAGTTAGTGTCTATGATGTCCTCCCAGTGTGAAAGCGATGCCGAGCTATCTGAAGAGTTAAACAACCGCAAAAATGCTGACCAAGTAATCCAACCACCTCAACCACCAGTGACGGCTGGTAATACCAAATCTAGTGAAATAGTTATATGCGACAGTGAAGAAGAGGAAATTTTAGACCCAAACTATCACCCTTCCCTGGACTCCGAATCAGAGTGTAGCACTGGAAGCTTGTCAGATAACTGCTCGTTGCAAGAAAGGGATGACATTTTAACTGATTTCGTGGAAAACGTAGATAATCTCGATTTTCTTCGTGTGGAACCAGAATGGAAGAGCGTGGTTGATGTTGTTTTTGAAAGAAAAAGAACGCTGGTAATACTGACTCCCAAAGCAATCTTTCACAAGGTAAAGTGCCTAAGGAAGTTATGAATGATGATGAATCATCAGTATACGATAGCGATGATGATGATAATGACGACTGTCTTGAAGAGATGGAAGATGATGTCAGTTTTGAAGACAATGATAGTAGTGATGACAGCCCACTGCTTAACGAGTTTCATTCCTGGTTGATAGACGTAGACGGGGGGTTATCGCTGCGCAAAAGTGGCTGGTCACAAGTCACAGGTAAAACGCATCATGAAAGTTCTTTCAGAAGATTTCCCTCAAGCAGCAAATGAAATAGATCTTGTTACTGTCGAGGGGCATGACGGAGTGGTAATGTTGAGGAAGTGGTTGGGTCAACTATCTGAGGAGTATCAACCTGGAACCATTAGATCATACCTAATGAGCCTTAGGCTATTCCTTAAATTCCTTGTGCAAGAAGAGAAAGGGCAAGATAGATTAGACACACTTCATGCAAGGAGAGATCTTTTAACTTCGTGGTCATCTGCTCAAAGAAAGAAGGTGCTGAAAAGGAAATTAGAGAAACATGACATGGACTTTGCAAAACTCCTTTCTAGCGAAGATCTATATAAAGTGTCAAATGGACAACAGCGAATAAACATAATTAAAGCGCTTGGAACAGCTGCGGAGAAAAGCAAAGCTTGTGGAGAACCTGTGCTGGTCAACGATCAGACCTTTTGCGAAGTAAGGGATTGGCTGATTACAAGATTAATAATTGACAACTCCGGAAGAAGTGGTATTGCAGCAAATATAACAGTGGAGGAATTCAAAGATGCTAAACTGTACGCTGGAGAAGAAGATGGAGAGAGATACCGCGTATCAGTTAAGAATCACAAGACAGGAGGTGTTTATGGGGCAGCCATTGTATGGTTTCATGCTGATGTTTACAATCTGGTGAATACGTATATCTCAAGGGTGAGGCCTAAGTACGTCAAAGATGCCACAGATAACATGTTCGTTTCAACCAATGGCGTTAAACTTACTTCATCGCAAGTATCCACGTGTCTGACTCGTACATTTCAAAGGGAGGGTGTGAAGTTTCACGGTCGCATCTCCGCAACCTTGATAAGAAAATCTCTGGCATCAGGAGTGCATGTCCATTTGCCTGAAGATCAAGAACAACTGGCTGCCCTTGCACAGCACAAACCTCAAACACAAGCTCAATATTACCGCATCAATGACAAAGTTAGAGAAACAGATATTGGGCGTCGTGCTGTCAGAAAATTTATCACCATGAACTGCGCAAAGACAGAGGTAAGTACTCTTATAATGCATACCAATCGTAGTAATTTGAATAACAATTGGCATACGAATTCTGATTTCTTTTAGGTATCAATAATTCCTGTCGAGTGGACCGAGGAAGAGACCTCAAAACTTCAAGATTTATTCAAGTCTGAAATTGAGACTGGTAACATAACTGAAAACATTGTCAGAGATAAACTTGGTGCTTCCAACCTGTTGGAAACACACCCATGAAGGCAATTGTGTTGAAAGTGAGAAGGCTTCGATCAGAATTTACCAAAAACTTAGAACCACCAACTGAAGTTGAGTCTCCTGAACAGAAGATAGAACGGTTTATGTCTTCCAGAGCTCCATCCATCGCATCTGAATCTGCAAAGCCATCATGGAGTAAGTTCACCGATGAACAAACAGACCATCTCCTATCGTTAACTCAGGATATGATTGAAAACAACGCAGTAAAAAGAGAGGTCGTTTGGGAACGGGTGATAAATGATGAGAAAGCATGGAAAACCGGGTTGGTCTTCGGAACCGATGATGAGGAGCTTCTTTTGAGGCAAAACAAACGTTTGGCGGACAAGGTACGAAAAGAAGTCAAACGTCAAAAGATGAAGAGAAAGTAGTAGTTTGATCCTGTGGTTCTTGCATTATATTTGAACATTAGTTGACATTGAACATTTCTTGTCTTTATGTATTCAGGGTTACAACATAATTGAGTCCTATATTGCTAACATGTTATTTTCTTTAACCGTTTGCCAGTCATTTTATGGTTGATCGTTTTATTTCAAGTAAGTCAATATTCCCTAAAAAGGCCGATTTACACAATGCAATTTCTTCGTGTGTTAAGGTTCGAACGACAAGTCATAGGGTCGTGTACGACCTGACGAATGACCGTTTATATGGTATGATTCGGGTCACATGCATCAAGTCATATACTACAATCGCATCGTGGAAATCGGCCTTAAGAGTCATATACTACAATCGCATCGTGGAAATCGGCCTTAAGAGTCATAGAATTTGTCTTGGTGACTGATGTGTGTAGGACATCGACTTCTATGAAAAAGATTTAACTTGTCTTGGTCTTGTTGCGAGGTGTTATAAAGTTGAATTTTTCATAAAGCAAAAGTTGTCGTTTAAAAACTTAGCTCCAAGTGATAAAGCTTATATCTGGAATTAAAAGAGTTTACTTTGAGACTCGTTGTCATGAACCTGCAATATATTGTCTTTTTAAGTGCAGTTCCAGTTGAGATTTTGTGGAAGTTTCATGACGTTTTCGAAAAAGTTTAGGGTGAAGTCACTAAGCCCGTGAAATACATATTAGACTAACACACTTTTATTAACCACTAATTTCGTTGTTTCCTTTAGTGTCTATTGAACTATTACATGTTAACAGTTAAATATTTTTTATGGGTTTAACTTTACCCTAGTGCAACTTTTGTCGTCATAATAGAGCGATATCGCATAACCCCTTCCTAAATATTGGTGTTTTATTCTAAATGAGCCAATACAAAGATAACATTAGAATACTTAAGACTTTATCTATTGTTGTCTTTCTACGATGTCCATTAACCTTTAACTAATATCCACTTGCTTTTAAAAATATTTATATCGCTCTGTAAACCTCACAAACCGGTGAAATTGCAGCTAAAATCGCCATTGTCATAGAGCTTTTAAGGATGATCAACACGCACGCCCAAACTTGCATGCGAGCTGTCAATAGGATATGTATATGTAATCGCATGGGTCCTCGGGCAATTATGATTAATTTCACGCGTATTTCCAAACTTTGAAAACACCAGTGAAATTAATCCTTAATTGCCCGAGGGCACTTGCGATTTCTTGTTTATCACATAAAGGGCAAAATTATCGCGGGAATCCATTCACGCGCGACGTTATTCTTTTAGGAAGCCCGTTCAATGCCGCGACATTGCTCATTTTTTCCTCTTGTCTTTGCCCATTGTTGGAAAATGTTAGTCCAGTAGTCCGTACTTCTTTTTGTGTTTTTGTGCTCACTTGTGTTTAGTAGTTCCTCAATAAACTCTTCAACAAAATGGGAAGCCATTGTTGCAGAAAATTTTAATCGGCAACAAATCTAAGCAATAACTTCATTACAAAGCAACTTTAAACCAATCAAGATCAAGTAATCATGCCCTTTTGATTACCAAAAGTACCCTCGTGATTAAGAAAAAATGCCCTCTGTCTCAGCCAATCAGCACTTAGTAATTTTGCCCTGTATGTGATAAGCTACATAAAATGGGAATTTGCTAGGTGTAGAGTTTTGCTCATAAATCCAATTAACAGCAATAAAATCTATCGAAAAACCAGTGGCCATGTTTGTAAAGTAAAGCGTCATGTCTCTTCTGAAAATTAGCCGTTTGCGCATTTAGTAAGAGTATCTAAATTTTGTGCTAGCAAACTTAAGGTGGAATCCCTGTACATGAAAGGGTATCATTTACTGTTCCCCTTTTTGTTGGGAATCTACTTCCCTGAAAAAATAAGCTGGAAAAATGTATTTTTACGCGTTAAGAACTGTGCTTAATTTAAGTAGATCTACTGAGTACAAAGACTGTCTCAGGCCTGCTAGTATGGACACCTTAACCCAAGACGTTTTACTGCGTCTTTAATCATGTTTAAGGTATACAAGCGACAGGAAGCTTCGTATATTTCTAATTTTTTTACACCTAGAGTCTGTCATTACAATTTGCGCTCCTCTGCTCTTAATGTTTCCCAGCCTGTAAATACCTCTAGCCATATTCAGAGCTCTTTTCATACATTCTTGGAACCAGTTACCATCTTCAATTAAATCAGCAACCACTTTATCGGAATTTAAGTCTGGCCTATCTCGCATAACTACGCTTGGCTGTAAGCCTATAAGTGTATTAGTATACAATTGTAGAGGTAGGGTTATGAATTGGTAATTAGGCTTGGGGTTAGGGCTATAATGTTAGGTGATTAGGGCTGGTAGGGTTTCAGGGGAAGTTCAGCATCGGGAGCTAAGTGATATTTTTGCGTTTTTATCATCTTTGTCGAGCGTTTTTAAAATGAGCCATTAGGCTCGGGGGATTGGGTAACCACCCCCTACGTTGCCGACGTGAAAAAAATTGTTGTTGTCCACGTGATCAGTAAAAAATGGTCTAAAAAAGCTTTATTTTGTTAATTCAATTAGTACACTAGGCAGGGAAATCATCTTAACTGTCAATATTGCTCCGCTTCTCTTTTTAACTTGAATGTCGCTCAGTCACGATATTTCTGCTTTAATTCAAATAATAACACTTTTAAAAAATGTTTAAATTATTTTCCATGTTCCCTTTCACAAGGCGTCTTTTAGCTATGCAAACAAATTACCAGAATTCCGCTTTATTCAAGTTTTATAAGTAAAATGTCCCATCAATTTGGCAAAGTGGGTATTTGCTACTTACAAGTGGGTATTTGCTACATAAAATGGGTATTTGCTACATGCAGAATTTCGCTCGTAAAATTGATAAAAATGAATGGAATAGCTTGTAAACACGTTGTAAATTCTTAAAAAATAATGCGTCATCCATGCATGCGAAAATCATGGCATTAGAATGAACTAAAAAGTGAAATAATGCGAAAAACGCATTTTTAGAAATGTTTGGGTTCCAAAGTTTCAAGTCTTGTACACCTACATACCCAGAAGCGCACTTTTTTGCTAAAAATGGTCTTCACAGAAAAAATTTTAAAACGACAGAACTCAGAAGGCTTTTACGGCAAAGAAGAACATTTAGAAGACCTTTGATATCCGGAAAAGTTTTTGAATTTTATAAAAAAAAAATGATTGATGTACCTAGGTTTGGGTATTTGCTACCTTCTGACTTTTCAGTGACGAAATGCGAACAACAATTAAACTTTAATAACGTTGGTTTTGCATAGAAGAGAGCTAAAAAGCAATATTCTTTTGGCTAGAATTGTTAAATACTTTAAAAAAAAACTTTTACTTAATTTAAATAGGCATAGAGAAAACGCGTAGCAAACACTCACTCATGAATCTAAAGAGAGAGAGAGAGAGAGAGAGAGAGAGAGAGAGAGAGAGAGAGAGAGCAAGCATTGATGGCCAAGCAATTAGAAGTCTCCTCCAATGCATTTGGGAGAGTCATATTAGGATCGTATGAAATGCAATGGAAACTCGGTACTGTTTGCAATAACCTGAGGGAGGATTTTGCTACAACCAGATTTGTTTTGTGCTGGCCTATCTTATCTATTAAATGGAGTTGTAAAGGATTGTTAGAGGCAAAAATAAATAAACAGGCACCCAACATTTTCACATGCTTATGGTGCTCTTTGTTATTACACTGAGTCTCAAACATCCTCTTACAATGCTCAAATATCCTGTCTGAAAACATCCTTTAATATTGCTAAAATGGTTACTCACTGAAGGGATGTGACCTTTTGACAGTACCCAGGTTCCAAACAAGATACATGAAAGACTTGCTTAAATATAGAAATGCTGTGTTATGGAACACTGTTTGCTACTATGTACAAGAAGTTGGAAGCTCGAGTCTCAATAATCTGAAAAATGCCTACTCACCAGAGACTACTTTCAGGAGTTCAAATTTGACATTCTTTCCCCTTCTACTGCTTGCCTTATACATACTGATTTTGTTTTTACTCAAGAAGTTACATTATGAAATTATATCATTTTCTATTTTCAAACTCAAGTTACATTTACATAACATGTAATTTTCCTTTATTCTTCACAGGACCCCACAAGCTTGAAGCTTAAAATACTATCAATTATAAATAAAGGTCATCATCATACTACTGGTTAATGCTATTGTTCTTTCAAATACGTTTTTTGCCAGTTGTCCATTATCAAGCAGAACTCATGTTGCTGAGATTTCCTGCACAAGACTGCTTTTATTAAAGTTTTATGTCTCTCATTTATAACCCTTTTCTCAATCTCTAGAGCCAGAAGTAAACAAGGAATACCTTAAGGGGGCTATTACAAGCTATATTAACAACGTGTCCCCAAAAGAAGAAGAAGAAAAAGAATACCAAATGGTTGGATTGCTAAATCCAACTGTAAGACAAAACTGCAAGAGCTGTCTCTATTGCCCACTTCAGTCACAAAAAACAACACGATTGTCTGCATATTTGTTCCAAAAGTGTGCCAATATAAAAAATAATGTGTGTTATCCACAACAAAAACTTGTTTGCTATATAATATGTGCTTTCTTCTCTATAGAAACAATGGATTGATTTGCCAAGATAAATGGGAACTTGTGGACTTATAGTAAAATAAGCTTTTAAACTGGTTCCTTACAAACCACTGCATTTTAATACACCTATGCATCCATTAACATCCCTTGATTATTCCTTCTAAATAGAACTAAGGGGAAGTACAGCTGTAAGCATGCAATTTAATTTAGTCAAACGTAGCCATTTAGACCCATGTATGAAACACAGACTTATTTTTCCCACTGGTGAACCTGGTTCAATGTATCTTAGATTGTTGATTCCATATCTAACAATTTGGTCATTTGTAAAAACTGTTTTTTTTTTGTAGCGAAGGTGTCATAGTGTCTAGCAGTTAAAACTTTTGCAGTAAATGAAACAATGTAGACAAATTTTTCAGGAATGTCAGTTGTAACAACTACATTATTCAAAAGCCAATATTTTAAAAATAGACCTTAATTCATTTCAGAAGCAAACCTGAGGACTTCTTGCGATGAAATAGTATGATTTTCTGTCTTTTTTAATGTGGCAGGTTGTAACCATAGCTGAGTGTGTTTTATTTCAGTGTAAGTTCTGTGCTAGCGACCTCTGTATCAACCTCCAAACCGATAAAATGTCCAAACTGACCACTGAACGAAAAAGCTGACTATCAAAACCTTTTCATTTGTCTTTCTCAAAGACTAGTCTCGCAAAAACGTGCGCCAATGAAAGAAAATCCCTAGCAAACTCAGAGGGTTGGTTTGAATCGATCATTCAACTTTTAAATACAAACAAACCATACAAGCCATATCGGATAAATCACCAAAATATCTCAAAAGAGAGGAGGTTTGGTCTGTATGGTGCACTAGAATAACGGCAGGCTTTGAAACTTTAACACCACAAACGTAATGAATATGGTTTGCAAACCTTCAGAAAGCATTGATCCTGAAATTTCTCATCATCTACTTCACAATATGCGTTCGAAGAGTTCCAACCGCGAGCTTTCCATCAAATCTCTTCTTTCTATAACTTCAGGGACTTTAAACCTACAATTGCGACACACAAGTTGAACAAAAGTTAGAAATAATCGTTAAGGAAAGGGTTTCAAATAGCTACGAATTAGATTATGAGAACTACTTGGGAATATGTTTGAAATCCAGCCGATTACAATTATTATCACACCTACTTGTTGTCGCCGCATGATCGTGCCAGACGGGCCATGAACTACGTTATGGAAATTTCCCTCACAAAATGAATTTACCCTGACATCTTAAATTCAAGAACTTCGAGCGGATTGTAATTACACGATGAAAAGCCCTTCCTACGACGAATTCAACATGTGCTAACCTAGGAGGCACTGCACTGTGTTACACTAACACAATCACGTGGTTCACTCCAGCTTCGATCGTAATTATTTGGCGACCATACCGCTGACAAGGACCCCGAGTGACCCTGGGCTCGAAATTGCTCGCACTTAGGCTCTGACGATCACAATCGCTCTGACGAAGGGCTAACGCTCGAAACGTCAGCTTTTTTACCCTTTACGGTGGCTAATTTACGTTTTCAACCCAGTTGTTAACACTAAATTACCTGCTATACTCTCCCACCGACGCAGCACCACAGTTTCTTTAGAAACTTACCCCTTTATTCTTAGGCGATCAGCCAGGTAACACAGCGGTCAAACATCAGGCATGCGCAAGGGGATCAATTTTTTACGACTACACGCGCCAATTTCCTACGCAAAATTTGAACGGAAAACAAAGGAACAACTGCTTTCACGCTAAATATGCGAAAAAAAAAAAGCCGAAACGGTCATGTTGATCTGTAACAGGAGACGAAAGTAGGGAAAAGGAAAATTCGATAATTGTCCTTCAAAAAACGCTCATTTAATCACGGATGTTGTGGCGAATGCGAATTTTGATTTCTCACAAATAGGTGTTATATCTCCGCACCTGTTAATTTACGCTTATTCGTTTCGTTTTTACACGTATCATTTCGACAACATTATTTTCGCACTTTATGTAAATTACGCCGCCTTTTATATATCATTTTACGCCCCTTTTAAGCAAGGTGTCTTCTTTTGCGTCTCTGTAAACCGACGTCAATATTTCTCCTAGATAGGATAATCGTGTCCGCGTTGCAGAAATCAAGACTAAGAATGTTATACTCGTCTGATCGAATCCAAAAATTATGTTTGCTTGGAAAAACAAAGAACTAAGTATGTTGAACTGTATTGAGCCCGTTGACAATTAAACAAAGAACTGCGAAAAAGTGTAATTAATGTTTTCATTTTTGATGCTGTGGCGGATGTTTAATTTTTTTATTTCTCTCTCCACACTTATTTATTTTATACTTATTCTTTTTGTTTCTGTAAGTATCATTTCTACACCAATATTTTCGCACTTAATGTAAATTACGCCGCCTTTTGTATATCACGTTTCATGCCCCTTTCAGCAGTGTGTTACTTTTCCTTCGATGTAGACCTTTTCCTCACGAGTGTTTCATGTCTCGTATAATCTCTCAGCATTTAGTAAGCTTTTTGTCTCTTGGCTATTCGCATGTATTTTTCCCGTCCTATATGTTTATACTCTTTCGTAAAAGTCGTTTTTCAGTTCGTCGGCAATTTACTTCTTCTCTTGCGTATGAAAAAGAAGTTAAATCGAATGCTGAGTAAACGTGTTTGGATAAAGCGGGCCCTTTCCCCAAAGTTGTACGGTTTTCGAAAACTATGACTTACTCGTGTGAGACAACCTGTTTTTGGAAACGTGAAAGTATGCCACCTAGTCATTACGATGTTCGCACAAGCGTAGATGTTTGATTGCTGAGTTCGGCCACGTACACCCCTGCGCGATGGCACTATAGTGCACTGGTTAACGGTTTTCTTTTCGTTTCCTTTTATTATAAAACATCGTTGTTGTTGTCGTTATTTAACAAATAAAGAGGCCTGTGCTTCGTTCTGTTGTAAAGCACGCAGGAGGCAGTTAGAGCACGGAAGAAGTATTGGAGTACACACGAGTCGTAGTCGAGTGTTTCTCCCTACTTCTTTAGTGCTCTAGCCGCTTCCTAAGTGCTTTACAACAGAACAGAGCACGTTCAAGGTTCCTCTTTTCGTTTCATAATGAACAATCAGTCCAATTTCCCATGCATTACTAACAAATTTCAAAGCAAATTTTAACTTTCGAAGTGAACAAAAGGGTCGTCAAAACGTTCTATGAATACATGAAAATCAGACGCGTGAACTGCGGATAAAGAACTGAATTCCTCAAACTCATTAATAACTCAATTCAACTACTAGTTCAGTAGTGTTCATAGCTGAGAGGATCTCTTATATTCGTTTCTTCACTGCAATGCACATATATGATTTTCATATATCTACAATCATCATTCATTAATTGAATTGATCTAGAGCCAATAAATGATGTTCATTTTGGCCAGGAGGATAAGTTTTGATACCCAATGAAACACCAAATAGTAACACGCCGTGTTTCGATATTAAAATACTCGTGTGTGACAGCCCAAGCTCCAGCTGCGAGATAATAAGAGTCATTGCAAAAATATGAGAGTTTGAACGGGAATATTTACGACCACTCTTAGGAATAACACTTGAAAATACAGTTAAATTATTTTGGGCTGCCTGTGGTTGTAGCAGCTGAAATAGTACTGGAGCGAGGTCCTATCTTCTATCCTAATAATCTGAAGGATTTAATGCGGATGCGCCCCTCAACTCCTCTACATGCCTCTTTAAGCCGCATACGATACCATACAACGTTCGTCTAGGATACCGGCCACCCTTCTTATTGGCCACTTCCTGGATAAATTTGTGGAGGCAGAAATTCAATGATAAAGCATCCATGTCCTCCACATTGTCCTCGACATTACACAAGATGAAAATCGGAGTCTTTGAAAACGCTTCCAACTTCCAACACAGATGCTTTGAGTAGCCCTATCAAAAACTCGTGCTTCGGCTTTAAAAACAAAGAAAACGTAAACGATTTTTGTCAGTCTATTGTGCAGCAAAACTGAAAAATACATTGCAAGACCTGGATTTGTTTAAGTGGACTTGTTTTCTAAAAACCTTTCAAATCACTTTATTTTTAAAATCGTCGAATGAAAGCGCCTACAATTTCAATGCTGACAATTTCATCTAGAAACGAGTTCCACCATACTTCTCCCTTTTGGTTTGAAATGTAAAAGAAAAGACTCCTACGCACATCAAAGTAGGGGATAAATGAGGTACAAGCTTGAAAACTCTTCGGGAAATCGGTTCTTTGGCCGCGTGTGCTTCTGAGAACTAGGAACTATATATCGCTCAGAGAGAATCGGGGTTTGTCATAGTGGTAAATAACACTTTAAAAATTGTAAAAAGACTAGCGACTAAATACAGGAATGGCTCCAATCTGTGATTGGATGATAAAAATCATAAAAGTTAATAAGTTATATCTTAACTCCTTGCTCGTGAGTATTGTTATCCGCGTGTCTCGAAGCGGAATAACGAAATATCGATGTGAAAACGCCGATGTGTCAAACAAGAAATGGCTATATACATAATGAAGAGATGGCAGAGTCTATCTTGTTCAGCGAGGTCGTTCAGCGATCTTCTGGTGATGAAAAGTCATCCGCTATCAAGCTCCGCTCACAAAACTCGTTTAGTCAGTTTAGGCGGACGATCAAAGACTGGAGCCATTCCTGTATTTTACCGTTGACAGGAATGGCTCCAACTCATGGGTATATTAATTTTTTTTCGCTCTGGCTAAATAATTTATACACTGAGATAAAAAGTGAAAGAGCGATTTATTAGGTTCTTCTTATGTTTAAGTCTACAGAGCTTGCAAATGAAGCCCTCTTTTATTAATACAGGGCCATGTAGTTCCTAAGTTTTAAAATAATGCAGCAACTGCATGTCAAGTTTTGGAAATCGCACAATGTTGCGTAACGCTGCGACCGATGTTTTTAATTTACAGTATGCTCTGCTGGAGAAATATGGCTTGGCCGCAATCGAGGGAGTTTTTCTCGTGGAAAACTGATTTTCTAGGTAACTGTTCACCTGAAGGACAAATCCATTCATCGGGCTCTTCATCTGTTTTTGCACAACACCTAAAGGAAGAAAGTCGCGGATTAATTTGCTTGGTAATTTCTAACAACTCCAGTAAACCTGAAAAAGGAAAAAAATAAAACATACAAAAAAAGACGTCTTACCAGTCAAACCAGTGGCAGTAGCTCTCGCACTGAATCATGTCAAAGTACCTTGACTGTTTGCAGTGATAGCACAACCAATCTTCGAACAGTTTTCGGCTATAACAAGAAAGAATAAAATGATTTTATAAAACTTGTTCTAAAATTAATGAAGGCTGTTCATCATATGACACTGTATTGGAACGATTATATCTCGTTTGCTATTGTATCACACTACTGTTTTAGACAAGGTATTTCTATCACTTAAATTTAAAAAAGAATAAGTTGAACATAAACCACGTTTTCTGTAAAGTACACGCACCATCCTAACCTCATTTGCCAGCTGCTTTCCAAGCATCATCTTTAAAAAAACATCTTAAATTTTTTAAATTTGAAAATTTTCAGCTAAAACCGCAGCTCCCAATCTCTCACCTTGCCTAAAAAATTTCCAAAGAAATTCTCAAGTTTTCACAACTTTGCCTATTCCTGCCCGTAGGTCAGCCAAGCCCTTATGGTCATTGGCCTCCGCAAAATCCGTTAACAATGGCTTCTAAGTATAGACGTTTAGAAGAAGAAGTTTACGACAGTTAGACGAAACGCGTCGGGGAATAAAGAAGTTTTACAACTGCTGTTCGCACAGCGCTGCTCACTGGTTAAGTTTTAAATTTTTTTACATATTGTTTAAAAAATTATAAAAATTATTGAAAAAAAAATAAATAAATGTTTGAGTCGGAGCTATTCCTGCCAGCGGTGAAATACAGGAATGGCTCCAGTCTCTGGTCGTCCGCCTGAACTGACTGAATTTAGACATCTGTGTTTTCACTCGCATCGATATTTCATTGTTCCGCTTCGAGACACGCGGTTACTCACGAGCAAGGAGTTAAGATATAGCTTATTAACTTTTACTATTTTTATCATCCAACTACAGATCGGAGCCACTCCTATATTTAGTCGTTAGTGAAAAAAGTCGTTTTTCTCACGTTGTGGTCACTTCGGATGCGAACGGTGACGTCTCGACTGCATAATGCTAGTCTTCTTCGGGCGCTGAGGTCGATTGAGTACGCATCAGCTATATGCTAATGTGCTCAGCTGCACAGCAGTGACCTCTGATATCAAACGTCCGTCGCGCTCGCTTGTTTCGCGAAGGGTTGCTTGCCAAGAATCAGTCGCCTAAGTGGGGTTAAGTTTGCTATTTTCACAGAACGAGCATTCATTAGCTGAATGAGTACTTCCAAGGTTTTACGTTCAGCCATGCTTGTATGTAGACGGATGTCCAACATTTCCTTCTGGGATCATTTGCCGTGTTCGATGCTGGATGCTTACAAGAGTTTGCTACAGAAAGGAATAGTGATAACAATGCAAGTACGTCTCGCTTGACTTGAGGTAGGGTACCAATCACTATGTTTGAAACTATTCTAAAGAGACAGGGTGATACAAAGCACTTCTTTTATATTAAAAAATGTAGAACGATGCCTAACAAGACCAAGTTCCTTTCTGTTTTTCACCAAACTAGAGATTAAAGCTGGTTAGATACGAGCTGGTTTTCGTTGACAAGTTTAAGCATATCAACTTTAATTTGCTCATGTGTATAAGAAAATTTTTTTAAGTTTTTCATTGGCATGTTTCATGAACAGGCCGCGATACGTACCAGTTGTGGGCAGAATTGACAGAGCTGACACGGCAGCAAAATAAGTGCGCATGCTCTACAAATGTGGCGCTTTCTAGGAGAGTCATTCTATTGTGAATGAATAGTCGGGAAGCAAACAGAAAATCGTTTTACACCATTTTGGATTGATATTGATGTGACCCAAGGGGAAAATTAAATGGAGTTTGTTCTTATGGAAAAGTCTGAAGCATAGGTAGCATTATTTTAGCCATACTTCAACTGAAACTGAATTAAATTTATTCAGACAGCTCGTTGCGTGTTCCCGTTCCTCATCCCGCACTGTAAAAGTTGGATTATGAAATCAAGCAAGATTTTTTCTTGTTTTAATGCCCTCTGCGAAGAATGAGATATCTAGTTTTACATCGAAAAACAATTTACTTCAGAACTTAAAACAAGTAATAATTGTGCTTAAAATAAGCATTTCTGAAAGATCTATAAGTAATAATAATAATAATAATAATAATAATAACTACTTATATAGCACTTATCCAGTCCAGTTCTAAGCACTTTGCGAAGATAGAAAAATAATTCGTACATGGTAAAAATAATTTTTATAAAGATGGGTCTTAGGTTTACATTTAAAAAGATTTAAATTGACATAGATGGGATTTCATCTGGTAGTTTGTTCCACAGTTCAGGGGCCAAAACAGCAAAAGCTCTAGCGACATATGACTTGAGATTAGGGTTGACAGGACTCGGGCGTAGTGCTGGAGATGACCTGAGCATTCTTGAAGTTGGGTAACGGCGTATCAGGTCTTGAATATAGATAGGAGACTGCTGGTGAAGACCTTTGTGGGTGAGCAGAATTACTTTGAATTTAATTTGCTCAGAAACTGAAAGCCAGTGGAGGTTGAATAAAACGGGGGTGATGTGATTGTACGTGGGAAAGGTTGTAATCAGTTGAGCAGCGACATTCTGCACTGATTGAAGCTCTTTAATAACATATTTTGGGGCATATAGAAGAGGGTTACAATGATCTAACTTGATCTAACTAACAAAGGTGTGGACTAGAGTCTCTGTAGTTTTATTGGATAGCAATTTTCTTATAGGGGAAAAGTTTTGAAGATGATAGTAGGCAGATTTACAAACAGAATTGACATGAGGGAGCATTGACATGGTACTATGAAAGACAACACCAATATTTCTGGATTGTATCAGATCCAAAATGAAGTGGAGGTAAGGAATGTTGAGGGCTATGCTTTGTGTAGAGGTAAAGAAGTTCAGTTTTGTCTTTGTTTAGTTTCAGCTTGTTTCAGGACATCCACTTATCAAGATCTGATAAGCATTCCTTAAGTGCTTGCTTTGAAAAAATTCACTTGAAGTAAGTCTGAAAGGTGTGTTTCACTTCAGCTGTAATGCTAGAAATAGGTCAACTGATACTTAAATCAAGGAACAAATATTTGGTTTAACTTTCTAAGAACAATGCTTTGGACACTTACAATGAGTGCATCCATCCAATCAGTCCAGTGAATGCTTCTGAAGTATGAATTAAGAAAATCACTGCCAAAAAAACGTTTATAAGCTATCTTTTGCCCTCAGAAAAAAGGAAAAGTAACCTCAAATTCAGTTGAAAGGTTATTATATTAAACTTGGAAAACTGAAACAGACACATAATGAATGATACATGTGTCTTTGAGTATTCTGAAAATGATCTGGATAAGCTCGATCAAAAGTATATATACTTCTGACTGAAAATAGTGCACATATTTACAAACACAATAGAGGAATCATTGTCTGTAAGCTTAATTTAGACTTTACTTTGAGTATTACTTTGAAATTCTTGGTTCTGAGCAAGGGTACACTTTTTCTGTAGTCAATGGCCTCGTTTCTCTTAGAGGAAGTACTACATACTACCCAGTCGTAATGCAGGTGGATTCAAGGAAGGTGTGGGTGGGTCTATGAGGAAGTGTAGACATTGCATGGCAAATTTTGAAGGTATCCAGTCCTTTTTTGAGGAACAGCACTTTCAGCTGCGGAGCTTGGAAGAGTACATGCAACATTTGATGCAAATGGAAGATGCTGCCTCTGAGAATCTTTGAAACTTTTGCTCAGAATGTTATGGCATTACCACCAGATCTAAGTTGCTTGAAGTACCTTATTTTTATTTTGACCCTTGTAACCAGTTAGTTCAAGATGTCATGCAGGTATTTTTGGAAGGAGTATCAGCTTATGAAATCAAACTTCTGCTGAACTACTTCATCAACAAGAAGGCATTTGGATTTGAAGTTTCAAACAAGGAAATGTAGCAATTTGCTTATGGATATTGAACTATCAAAAATTAACCTTCAGTTATCTGAGATAGAGACTTGAGAAAATCAGTCTCCACTAATCTAGGTAAAACTGCTTCTAAAATGTGGGTTCTTTCAACTGTTGCCTTTCATCTTAGCTAAAATGGTTGATAAAAATTCAGATAGATGGAGATAATTCATTTCAATCGTTGAAATTATGTCAATTTGCTAAATGCCCATTAGATTTCCTTGAGAACTGTAGTGTATTTAAAACAATTCATCAAGGGGCATCTTTGCTTAATTAAATGTCTTTATGCAAACACTGCAAATATTATACATAAACATGATTTACCTTATTCACTTGCCATCTTTGATTTTGAAATTTGGGCCTCTAATTCGTGCCTGATGTATGTGTTTTGAAGCCAAGCATGCATATTTTAAAGATCAGGCAAAAATTATTGAAAAACATTAAGAATCTTTCATTGTCATTATCAAAGAGGTACCTTTCTTCCCTGTGTGCTGACTACATTTTGTTTAATAAAGAAGGTCTAGGGCCCCATTTTTGGAGATGAAATGTCATTTGGCAAGACCAGTGGGCTATTTGGTGAGGAAGTAGAGAGTGCAACAATGTATATACAAAGGTGTAATGGAACTGGTGGTCTTCATGACGTCCAAAGATTATTTTCTTTAGGCTCAGTTCAAGTTCATGGCACGCTTTTTAAGCCTGATAAGAATTCGTTACTAACCTTTGGTTGTCAGAATGGGTTACCAGTGTTTGGCAGAATAATAAAAAATCGGGTGTATTCCTAATTTTTTTGCCCTGTGTGTTATGGTTAATGTGCAATTTGATGACAATCTAAATTCTTTTCAAGTCAAGAAACCTGATATACCTCAAGGCTTTGAGATTGTTAAACAAGAAGAACTTGAGTTGCCATTTTTGTATCATGCACACAAATTTGAAAAAAAGTTATATATCATTCTTAAGGAAAACCCTCTTGGTTGGCTACGGCGGATTTCTGTTGAAAATGTCATATTCAACATCAAAATGTGTTAACTAGACCATGTAGAACTGTTTCATATGGTAGGTTGTTATTAGTTACAAATTATGGCTGTAAGTTAATATTTTTTGTGTGGGTTCATAATATATTCTGACAACATTAGGTTAAATGTGATTTTGTACCAGTACATTTCACTTGAATTTTTCTTGTGAAACAATTTGTTGGGGTCTTGTGTTCAAGTTTTGTAATAATGTCTTCCACAGATTACAGGTTAATGTTTTGAAGTGTTAGTTCAGTAAAAAGCTTAATTTGAAAAATTGCAACTGCATGCTCATGCTAATCACTTTACTAAGGTTGCAGTTGAATAAAATAAAATTGATATTCATTTATTTCTTCAGGTTTTGTTGTGAGTGAAAAATGCAAATAATTTCATCAAGATTTTCTGTGCTAAAATAAAAAGCTTTGCCTCTTAAAACTAGCATTAAAATAAGAAGATTAACCTTAAAATTTCACCTATTTCTGTGACTGCCTTAAAACGATATACCAAGTCTCGAAAAAATGATTAGCTTGTCAAAACCATACTTGAATCACAGTTTGCAGTTTTCAAGTAAGACTTCTAGCTCTTAATTTAATTTCCTTGGTACTGATTTCAATTTTAACCAACTCTCAGAGTGCCATGTAGGGTAATTCAGGACAGTATTTGATTCTGGATTCCACACTGTGGATTCTGGATTCAAGGTGCTGGATTCCAAAACACAGAAGATTCCAGATTGCTGGTTTGCTCATAATTTTCACATTTCGTCTTCTAGGAATGACTTTTATGGGAGATTACACTATTGAAAGACATGTTTGCAAACCCATGTTTGTCTATTTATATTTCCATAACAACATTTGATAATTACAAGAAATATATTCTAGCAAGTTAAGGGATTAATTTTTCTTCTAGGAATACCCGTTGAGAATGTCCATTTCTTAAGTCCAATGTCCATTCATTTCACATTTTTTAGCAACGCTGAGAGCCAAAGCCATATTTCTTTCATTCAGGTTCCTCAAGATTCTTCACATGATTTAACGGTATCAAAAGAACTAATAGTTCAAACATTGCCTATCATTTTCAATTTGAAAATACCTGTTCGACCAAAAAGGTTGTTCTAGCACAGCATAAGACTTGGAAAAAGTGGCCAATTTTTGTAATCCAAAATTGACACGGAACTGCCAAGAAAGAAACTTAAAAATGTTTCCCTATCATCTCAAATTACTTTTTAAACTTTCTTTTTAAAATAAAACCATAGTATTGACAAAAAGTTTAAACTGATTATAATCTCAATGACACCTTATGTATTCTTATGTCGAACTCGTGTACAAGTCGAACTCGTGTGTTAGTCAACCCCCATTTTCAATGTCAAAAATCTGATTTTTTTATCATTTCTAGTCAAAGAAGTAAAATTCAGACCAAGAGAAGTTCCCAAAAAATTAATACATTTCTGAGAATGTATTGAAAACATGGGGAATTAAAAAAAATGCAGAGCAAGATGTAACCGTGTGCCTTGAAGTTTATCAGCACATGTTGATATCACTATGATTAAAGCATACACGGGCACTTCAATTTACTAGAGAAGTATTTTGCTATAATTTGTAAATCGCATTGGAAATGAAATCTTCTTGCATCTTAATAACCTTTATCTTAATTTTGAGTTTGAAAGGATAATAAGTAGACTGAAGGAACATCAAAGAGTTCCGAAGGATTATGCATAACAAGCAAGAACGTGCGAGACAAGGGCATTTTCCAGGTCAGTAAGCTACTGAAATCATATGATGAAAATGAAAATTCAGCATTGTAAACAGCAGGGAAGCTGTAAGAAAAATGTCTGCTCTACAGTCCAAAGACAATAGAAATAAGCTCTAGCAGCTTTGCATTAAGCTACTCAAAACCTAGTATTTCAAACAGTTTTGTTGATGAAGAATGCGTTGTGACGAAACTCGAACACAATTAGAACTGGTTTTATCAACACGGTTTTCCTAACGGACTTCAGGCAATTGCTATGCTAATTTCTTAGATTGCTAGGGTGGGGTCTTTATGTGACTCGTACTAGTCAAGGGTGATTTTTTGGGCTGATTTTTTGATCATGAAAGGTCGACTTATACATGAGTAAATACGATATACTTAAATCTGGTGAAAGATCTGCATTTACATTGTAATTTTTCAAGAATATCAGATTTTGTTTTCTGTATACCCTTTTCTCTTCAAAAGGTTAGCCAAATCAAGTCGAATCTCGTTGGCTACGGAATTTTAAAGGTTTAAGGTGGTCTGCTGCTATTTTGTTTTCCATAAATGTTGTTTGACCCTTAACAATATACATAGAAAAATTACTCGGTTCTAATTGGTTAAGATAAATGCAGTTTTCAGGTAATTCAGTGCAGGAGAGAGTTAATTCAGTGCCGAAGAGGGTTAATCCAGTGCAAAGAAAGAAACAAATCAGACATTCCGATTGGTCAATAATCAAAGAAACTGACAGATACCCAATCAAATGCGAGCCTTGGATGTCGCAACAAAATTTGAAAGTTTGAAAATTTGCGAGCGAAACAATGGCCGGCGTTTAAAGTAGGCTTTCTTTCGCCACCGCAGCTGAAAAACAGCTTAAACAACGAAAACACTGTAAAAAACACTGCTTTTGGTTGTCGGTTTGGAAAAGTGGTGTTTAGAGAAAGAAATTGCTAAGGAAAGCGAAAATTACGAGTCGACCCAGCTTAGCACTTTGCTCGAGCGATCCAACACCGAAATTAAAAACAAACCTGGTTCGACCTCGGAAACGACGATTCCATTTCATCGAAAGTGATTCGGACACAGACTAAACAATTCCTTAAACTGTTTAGCCGGACTTTGAACTCTTTTGCGCCTTAAAGATGTGAAGATATTATTGCATATTATTGTTTTGATCGTACGCGGTTGTTTTTTACCGAACGCACGGTTTAAATAAATTATTTTTGCACTTGATGTGCACGCTTTGCTCATGCTTAATTTTGATAAGCCATCTCGTATTTTTCCATGTATATTATTAACACGTAATCACATGATTTTTCTCGTGCAATTTGGAATAAACAAGCACTTGTTAATTTTTTCAAAGACCACAAATTGCACTCACCCTACGGGCTCGTGCAATTTTGGTAGTCTTTCAAAAAATTTACTCGTGCTTATTTATTCCAAATTGCACTCGAAATCATGTGATTACCTATACAAAATCTGGTAACAACTTATTTTATTTGCACTGAGATATAATGCCTTATGAAATCTTAAAATTTGTTATTCGGAATGCCAAATATCAAAGAGAGCAGTTTACATTTAAATGCCAAAACTCGACCTAGAAGTAGACCTCTCCTGGCTGCCATTTATAGCCATATATATCTTTGTTCAAAGTCTATCGTGATTGAAAACGTGGTACATTGCTATTTGGTGTTTAACCAAATCCTGTAGGATTTGAACACTTTTGTTATGTAAACACTATGCCCCTCTAAATTCCCATACCCATTGACCATGTGCATGTACTGCACTCTACAGCGGTCATGACAAAACACAGACCGCAGATCATGCAGACTGCAATAGCTGTTTCCTTTTTTTGCACTGTAATTTACATATTCAGGTGTATACACCTTTTTCTTACTCCTTTGGTAATGTTGGAACTGTTTCCAATTTCAGACACCACATGAGGAAATTTTATGAGGTCTTTTCCAACTCGCACTACCTAGCAAAACAATATCGAATGCCCAAGTTTCTTGAACACATGGAAATTGGCCCCATGCAGCGAGATGTATTGCAGATATAATTGGTGTGGACAGTGATGCTGATATAGAGAAAAGGAAGGGGCGGTGGGGATGAAGCAAATGATTACCTGGATCTTCACAAGACAGCCCAAAGAACTTTACAGTAAACAATGCTGCAAGCTAAAATCAAACTTTACTAGGTAATAAGGTTTTTGAATCTGAGTAGAAGACTGATTGATAGTTAGTAGGGAACTTTGACCATTTCAGCATTAACGTCGATTGGGTGATAGACCATGGATGAATTTATCAGTGTCTCATCAGCTGTAACAGTTGAAATTCTCCAGCAAACAAAGTGCGGCCTGCAGTCTGCAGTCTCGTAGTCAGTGGTTGATGGTTATTCAGTCGAAGTAAGGATTTGTTTGTTAAGTAAGTCTTTGCTAACAACAAAGAAATAACTATACAAGCATTGCTTCCTTGATGAATCCCTATTTTTAGATAGAAAGACTGGCAGATCCCAGAATATTACTGATGGAACATGTATTAAAGTGGATTGTGGTGTTATACTTGAGTTAGAAAACTGTTGTTGAGCTACTGATGGTGTCTCAGGGTATGAAATTACTCCTAATACAGGTACCAGTGTGACTAAATTTTTCACTTTGGTGATAAAATCCTGAAAGTTAGTCACCAAATTGGGAACTGGAATGCTTCATCATCACCTTACCCAGAGATATATATTGAATCAAAAAGATTTCCAAAGACAAATCCGTGGCAAACCTTCTCGTTACGTTCGTTTCCAAGTGAGGAAAGTATTGGTGTGGAAAGTGATTGAAATGATCTATGCAATGATTCGAATACTCACGACAGCACTTACTCAGAAAGAGATATTCTGGCGTTTGCTTGTATATTGGATGTCAAATATGCTGAACAAAATGAGTTCATCCATTGTCTTCAATTCAACGTCCTCGTGGGTCTCCCAGAAGACAAAATAGCAATGTCATTGATTCCCGACATGCAATCTCAAGACTGGACATAAATGGAAGCCAAAATCAACGTTACTTACTTTATTCCCAAAGAAGAGCTACTTTTAAAATTTGAGGGGCTACTCTCATTGCAGAGATAAAAAGAAGTCATAATAAACAACACAAAGGCAAACAAGAAAAGCTATCCAGAACCTGTTTCTTTTTTTGCCTGACGGCTTTTTTGTCTTACATGCAAAACCATGGTTGAAAGCGTGCCATTTCTGAGCCTTAGAAATGGTTCATTAGCCACTGAGTGCAGCCTTTATCATAAATATTGTTTTTAGACAACCTCTGTTTCTTTTTGCAACGATTCTTGTGGGAATTAAGGAAGCAATTGTGAACTCCTGTGATGATATCACTGAGTGGAATAGAAGAGTTGTTAACCTTGGAAAGAAGGGAGAGTAGCGGTGTTGATGAGAAAGGATTTTCCATATCTTGTTGACTTCCACCTCACAGACTTGAACTTACTCTCCTTGAAACGCAAAAGAGTTGCCAGTCAGTTGAAGAAGTCTATGACATGCTTAACCTTGTGTGGAAGACTTATCACTACAGTTCCAAAAGTTCACGTGATTTGAAGGCTCTTGCAAGAGAACTAAACGTGGATGCACTTAAACCGACTCAAGTATCTGGGACATGATGAGCATTTAAAGTATATTAATCAAGTTGGGTGATGCTTAAATGTCAGAAGAACCATTTGCTCAGTATTCACTTGTACTTTGTTATATGGAACACTTGAGTACTTCCTCAAGCAGCGCTGGGATCAAAGATCAGATAAATTGTATTGTATTGTATTGTAAAAGAGGATGAGAGTTGTTCAGTTTGCAGTTTTTTGCCACTTTTTGGCAGATATGTTCTCTATTCTTGGAAAGTTGAGTCTTAAGACACAGAGTAATGACCTCAATCTCCTTGTTGCTGTTTCTCAGCTTAAAGAAATTGTTGCATCCATTTCTTACCTGAAAAGTCGCTATGCTCCCAACGGTTACTTGGAGATGTTTCTCAAGGTCCCAAACAACTGAGGTAAAAAAGACCTCGGTGTCCTTCAGGGCATAGTTTGGGAAGGAGATCTGGAGGGTAGAGAAAAGCACATTGAGTCAGGCCCAAATTTCAATTAGAGCTAAAGAAGGCCATTGAACTCTGCTTGGATGGGCTCAAAGAATGTTCTGGCCCATTGACGGACTCCTCAAGCTCTTCTGCTTGTTCAAACCACCTGTGCAAAGGGCTGGATATTAGGTTGATGATATTCTCCCACAGTGACGGTCTATGAAAATCATGTTTAACTCCCACTTTTGCGACAAAGATTACAGCAGCCAGGGGAAGGTGTTTTTGGTCTAAGACCTGCACAAGTCAGATCTCAAAGACATCCTCCGCCTGATTGAAATCTTGCTTGTCCTCCCTATATCAGCTGCTGGGTGTGAAAGAATGGTCCCCTCCCAAAACAGACTCAAGAGTAGCCTTAGGGCCTCCTTAAAGAAATCACTGGAGGGGTTAATCCAGATTTTAGCTCGGGGTCCAAGTCTAGAGGAATTTAATCCTGTTCCTTCTTTTGACTGCTGGTTTGCGAGAGACCAGAGCAAAGGTGAAAGGCAGCGTAGGTTAAATTTTTTAACACACCAGAAATAGAAAACTTTTTGCAACTTAAAGAAACTGAGGCCTCAAATTCATGGACTTACTCTTTCATGAAATGATGTTTTTTCCAGCCTATAGAATTAATATAGTTAATCTCCACATGGGTTTTAATTTTTGCATTTTCGGTATTTTTGGCAATGTCACCAAATGATAATGTAACAGCGATGGTTCCGCAAACTTTAATCATTATAGACCATGCAGGCTGCCAAGTTCATGTTATAAACCTTTATTTGTTTCATTCAAAGTATGTTTTTTTCTTCATACTGTATGATAAAGAACAATCATTTATTAGTGATGAAATGATGCTAAGAAGGACGAATTTTATTGTGAGAACACTTTTCCTTGCACTTGTTGAAGAAATTATTATTGATCGACTTATTAGGTATTACTAAACATTTGTTTTCAACAATGTAAAGGCTAAGTATTGAACTTGAATTAATATGTTTAAGTTCGTGAGGAAGGAGTCACCTAACGCGTTTACTCTTGATGGAAAAGGATCATTTCTCCATCAACTGGCTGGGTAACTGCTATGGCTGGCTAAATATCTAGTAGACTTGTAGCCTTACGGATTGCTGAACTGGCTTTATTAGTTGGTTTAGTAAGCGCATTTATTACTTGAAAATCATCAATGAGATGGATAACAAGTTTTTTGGTCTAAATTAATCAAACCAAATCAGTAGTAACAAATAATTTCAGAAGGAAAACTATTCAATCTCAAGTCGTAATAATCTAAAGGAGACAAAATGTCAAGAGGATAACAAATATGATGATTACATTGGAATATAACTTGCAATAAAATACTATATAATAATAAATTAAGTTCACTCCTGTTTATGATTGTTGGCAAAGCATATGGACTTGCATTTGTAACACTTAACTGGTTTGTTGTTGTGATTGGAAAAGAGGTTAGAGCGACTTGCTCAGAAAAATGTGAGCAACTATCCGAGTGGCTACAGGTAGGGAAAAGAATGTGGTTCTGATTGAGGTAGGTGGTGGGGGAAAAAGTTCAATGTGTGAGGGGACCAAACAACTGCTGCAAAGGAGACTATAGGAACTCCAGATGGAGGAATGTTCTGATATGTTTGCCCAACTTTTTTCAATATTGTGCAGTCATAAAGTAGACATCCTTTTGACTCCAACATTACTTTGTGAAAGGTCTGCTGAATTTAGTCTGCTAAGTTGACCTCACCCATTAATTTCTAGTAGTCATTTTAGTGCAGGTAACAAGGTATTCATTGCTCCACCAGCAGAACATTTGTAAACTGTGTTTCCCTTGGAGTAACTCTTTCAGTTGGGCCTGTTGATACAACAAGCAAGCAATTTTTTCCTCACCAGCTTAACAAACAGGTGAGTACTTTGCTCCTTGGTATTGTTTGAAGGACATGTACCCTTTGTGGGGACCATGGTCCTATCAATAGAAGCTTCTTGGTAAGGTCTCTTGTAACTTTGAAAATTTGCCATCAGGGAAAGACATTATTGAAGCTATTGTACTTCCTAGGAGGAGCACTGATATCATCAGCTTAATTGAAGTGCTTCCCTTTCTGTAATAGGTGTGTTTGTGTTAGGTTGGAGGTGATATCCTGGTGATTGCTCCAGTACATATGTATCTGTAGGAAATTGATAATTGCCATACATGAGAGGATACAAATCGTTTGAATAAAATGTATTTCTCTCCTATTTTCCTGGTAGCTGTGTCTTACTAAACTTACTACATTAAGTATGTAGGTATTACGTAAAACTTTAGGTATAATTAAGCATGTGGTCTTATTCATCAATGTATATATGTATATATGTTTATGCATATAAGTTAGAAAAAAGATGGATAGAAATGAAAACAAGAAAATGAGCCCACAACATGATGTATTTATGGGAGCAAATACTTAGAGATATAGGCTGACCGAACTGGTCATTGTTTTGCATTAATTTAATTTAATGTTGAAAAGTACATGCATAAATTGAAGCTAAATTTCAATTAATTGATAAGAGTAAGAGAAAAGAAAGGTATAGAATTTGTTTTTGCTGAAAGAGGAGTTGAAAATCTTGTGGTAGGTAATGCTGTACTTTTATTGTGGTGCCAGAGGTATAGATGCCCTGACCAGTCCTTACATTGTTGACACGTGCACTCTCTTCATCCTCCCAATCAGTAATGCCATTAAATCTGACTCAAATCTCCACTCTCTTGTGGATCAGTGCAGTGATAGCAGTTGCTTTTTGAAAGCAAGTGCTAAGCTCAAAGACAAAAGCTCCTCGGAACTGATGAGACTGACATTACCAGTTTTACGTAATTTAGTGGAAACCTTAACAAAAGCTAAAGCATCAGCAAAAGCTGGCACCCTCCTAGAGGACATTGCTCTCCACACAACCCTCTTTCCTGTCCCACCAATGTCACCAACAACTCCTTTTCCATGTGAAGTAGCAAAAAAATGCCATGTAAGATTCACCTTCTTTCTCAGCATCTGATAAAAGTTAACCATGTCTTTGTTCTTAAACTGAGAGCTAGACCCATCTGAGAATACATGAGCAAGCTTAAGTTTTGGACCCTGCTGTAAAACAAGCATTTGAAATACCCTGTCCATGAACACAGCAATAGCTTTGTTGTCATGATTCTTATCATCAGTAATAAACGCATGAGAGCTGCAGGTCTTCTGGCTTTGATTATTGATGGTCCAAATGGCAACAGGGAAGATGGTCACATGTTCCTGGCCCCAATGTGCCTGGTGTAGACATGTGTAGTTTTCTGAGAAGTCAACTTGTACTACCGCTTCATTTGGTTGAAGGTGTATAATTTTGATTTCAGAGTCTTTTGATTGTTGTTATAAACATGCTTGAAAAAGTTTGGAGGCTTCTCTTTGGGCACAGTAAATGCATCATCCACTGTTCCTTCTTTGAAAACCTTCTCCATCTTCTTGACCACTGAATTGCTTTCTCTTTGTTTGGTGTTCTGCATGACCCTCTCCCATTGATACCAAGTTACCATCAAACTTAATTCTTCCTCAGACACTGAATCAAGCCACTGTGGCATTTACCACACTGTCCAAACCTGCAAGCCTTAGAATCAGGGCTACACACAAAACGATCAACAAAGATTCCAGAATAAGTGGGGACGTCAGTAATGCTCTTAGATAAGCAGTCACACAACAAGCGTATGTTCTCATGATACGAATACAGGCATGCTTGTTGTGGGTATTGTCACAACAGCATGACATTCTGGGGACGCAAAGTGCAAAACCTAATTAGTTTTTTCTTTCTTCTTTAGTTTTCTTTTCCTGACAGCATCAGCGTCAGTATTTGCACTCTTTTTCTCGTCCTCTCTTTGCTTTTGTTTCCTTAGTTTTCCTTTCGCTCATGAACTTCATACTTTACAGGATTAACTTTAAGCCTCTTCCTAAAATAAATTAAACAAGGCTTACCTGTAAGGTGAAGTTTGATTTGGATTCCGTGAGTCATTGGTCAGGAGTGAAGGAGTCATGTGAGAAAGTGCACGAGCCTGGGAAGATCACTCTTTAACAGATATGAGCACTAACACCCAATCATGGGTGGGTTAGTAACACACGGGTGGGTACATGACTCCTTCACTCCCAACCACTGACTCACAGAATCCAAATCAAACTTTACCTTACAGGTAAGCCTCGTTTAATTTAGGTATCCTGTTTCGTCATTGGTCATTGGTCGCTATGGAGTCGCGTGAAATTTTAAAGCAGTGTGAGTGCGAACTTGAAAGAGACAGCAATGATTTATATCAATATGAATCAGCTTTAATAACACGCTCTCTTAGCCATCAAAATATACAACTTTAAGAAACTATCTTAGGTGTCACCTCATACAGCTTTAAGGAGCTCAGCTCCGAAATTCTCTCAAGGTTCCACTGGTTTGTTGTAAAACTTTGTAAATGTGGACTCCTGGAACCACTCAGCACCTTTCATAATTCTGGCGATAGAAATGCTGTTCTCTTTTGCTGCAGATGTAGATGTTGATCTAGTGCTGTGTGCACTATACTTCGAAGTGTCAATTCCAGCATCAACCAATGTAGTCTTAATCCATCTGCTTACTGTATCAGGGGAAACAGCTTTGTGAGGATTAGAGTAACTAATAAAAAGCTGCTTTTCATCACCTCGAAGAATATCTGTAAGCTTTAGATATTGTTGAAGATGCTTTACAATACAAAGACTTACATCTGGTGCATAGGCCTGAAACTCAATACAAGCTAAATGTTTACCAGGTCTTGAAGTTTTCAACAATGAGTTAATGAATAACACACACTTATCAGCACTTATCTGCATATAATCGATTGATAATGTGTGCACAGTCTGGCGACGCTGTTGCAAAAGCAACGCCATGAACATAACCACTTTCAAAGTCAAGTTCTTCAAACTAAGTTCCTCAGGTGGGCCAAGTTTAGCTAGATAGTCTAATACCACGGTCACATCCCAAGTTTCTTGGTACCTTGGAAGAGGGGGTCTGCATTCAAAAATTCCCTTTATGAAACAACAGACTAAGGGATGCTGTCCAAAAGTGTAATGCTCTGATGTAAAACAAACAGTAGATAAAGCACACCATACTGTATTGAGGGCACTTTATCCAATCCCTGTTTGGTAAAACTCTGCCAGGAAATTAATCCCATGTTCTATAGCTGCTGAAAAGGGATTAATCTCCCTTTGACAACAGTATTGTTCCCATTAGTGATAAATGGTTTATGTTGCTGTTTGGTGCCCTTTCTCCAGGACTGCAGGGTGAGTAAGGTAGTCGATTTCAAAAGGCCTCTGCCTTCAAGTGATTTCCGGACAAGTGGCACATCAGAAGTGTGAGCTTCTGGTGTAGTGGATGCACCAAGTCCGGCTGTTGAGGTAGAAATAACGTGTGTTTCTTTATGGGAAGCACAAGGTTTTCCAGAACCAGCAGTCTCATTACCAATAGCCACCATGGCTGAGTCGGCCAGCATGGCACAACCAACAGTCCTGTGGCATCCTCTACTTGGATTTCTGTAACACTTTTGGGATGACACTAAAAGGAGGAAAAGCATAAAAATTGCAAGGTGTCCAAGAAATTGGAAAGGCATTAATAGCCATTGCTTCAGGATCTGGTTGGTAGGCAACAAATGGCCTTAGCCGGTAATTGACATTGCCTGGAGTAACCTTCTACAGCAAGATATAAATCAACTAAAGCGCTAACCAAATAGATCTGCACGGATTATTACACGTTGCTCTCGCTCATCTGAAGCAATAGAGCAGCTGCAATGGCCGACTCTTTCCAGTAGACGCTATTATCACAAGGTTAAACTCGTTTTTCTCTGTCTTCACTCATTAGTTCCTAGTTACTTTTCATCATATTTTACCAGATTTTCGAATGTTCACAATTACTTCACAAGGCAAAGTATGAGGCTATCCCTGCCAAAAGTAAAACAAAATTTTGGGAAAAGGACCTTTCTTTTTACTGGCGCAGAAATTTTTTAATAAACTCCCTTTAAACATTGTGAAGAGTGAAAACATTCAAACGTTCTGCCGCCGAGCAAGACATTTCTTTTTATCTTAACTTTGATATTTTATCTACTATTCTAGGTCTTAATTGTGTTTTGGCTTCGTAGTCTTAGGCTGTTAATGTAGTTTTAAAATTCTAGTCATGTATATATATCATTGAGAATTTTGACGTAAATTATTTTTAAGAAACAGGGCCCCTATGGATATCAGCCTTAGAGCTGAACGGGCTACCCTGTGTGAATAAAGTTTAACTTTACTTACTTCACTGGTAATTAAGCCTATAGGCAAATAGATCGATCTGAGGCTCAAAGTTAATTTTCTTAACAGCCTCATGGAAAATTCCTCTATCCAGGGTCCATTCAGTTTCTTTTCTAGATTTCCTGGACTCTGCATCAGCTAGAGTATTCTCTTTTCCTGGGATATGACGTGTGGTTAACCACATGTTATTGTCCAGGCACCATTCCCAGAGCGTACGGGTTAACTCATTTCGCTTTTCGGAATGGCTTGTGCCCATTTTACCTAAATCTGGCATAGCAGTCATATTATCAATTCGCACAAGGACATGCTTCCTTGATAACTCTTTATAAAATGCCTTGAGAGAAAACAACACTGCAAGCATTTCAAGATAATTAATGTGATTACAAGCCTCTTTAGGGGTCCAATGCCCCCCAATCTTTACATAATCAAGCACTCCTCCCCAGCCTTCTTTACTTACATCTGTGTATAATTGACCTCTGGCTGTTGAAGGCTATAGGGTTATGCAGTGACCTTGTTGAGTTTATCCACCATTTACCATTTGTAAAACGGTATTAAGTGAGTTCCTTTTAAAATGGTGATATTGCACAGGAGTGTTTAAACACTTGAGATTTAAAATTACTCTGAAAGAGCCATCCTTTTTGGCCCTAGTGAAAACAGAAGAGATATATTCCCCTTCTTCGTGACTTGGGGTAATAACACCTTTAGAGAGTAGTTTATCTATTTCTGTATCAATGACATGTTTTTCGTCCAAATCAAGGATTTTCTTCTCTTTGGGGACTACTCTTTGATATGGAGTCCTTGTAAATTCAATTGGCTGGCCCAATATCGTTCGCAATATCTCAGGGTCTGAGGCTAAGGCCTGCCACTGATAGTAATATTCTCTCAGTCCCCCTGCCTTAAAGCAGTGAACTTTATGCTCAAGGAACTGCAATATATTTACCCTGTCTGCCGGGATATCAGAGCATTTCACTGGCTGGATGTCTTGTCATTTTCCTGTGATTTTTTGGAATTGTTGTTGTGTGGCTGGTTATACCGGCCCCTCTTCCCTGAAAGAGGCTTTCCACTAGAGTGAGAAGATTTGCCCATCGCTATGGTTTCAGTAAGATGACTTTGCAGTAGTCGTATGGCCAAGTTTGTTAGCTGCTTTGGTATTGTTCAGCTGAGATTACAGATTGTTGCCAAACAATAAGCCATGATGGGTACTTGAGAGCCACACAACAAGGAATACTCGTTGTTTAAGTTTGGTTTGATAGCGTCTCGTTGACGGTAAGACAGCTCAATGTTTACGTGGCCTAACAATGCCAAAGCATCAGCGTTAAACGTTACTATTTTCCCCAGTTTCTCAGTGAGAGCCAACGCTGAAGTCTTCTCAGGATCTGTACGGATAGCCAGCAGTGTGTCAGTCGATCTGGCAACTGAACTACCGACTTTGACATTTACTTTCTGCATGTTTGCACGACGTAAATCCACGCTTCTGGTCACATGCTTCAGCTTATTCCATATCTCGGGGTTGACCTTTGGCAAAGTCAATTTCTTGCAATTATCAGGTCGATTGAATTTCACAAATTTTTCTTTTAATTTGGCTTCCTCTAACTTAGAACCCTATCGCTTATTGACAATATCCGCCAATTTCTGAGCAACTTTCGGGTCAGTTGGCTCATCGGAATCAAAGTCTTGAGCAATTTTATTGAGCAATGCATCCTCTGTGACAAAGCTTCCCAGTTTTGGTGGGTCACCTTTTGGGCAGGAAATTAAGTCCCTTGGAATCTGACTTCTCAGGGTCTGAATCTCGACCATTGCTCATTGCATTAGTTGCAGGAGATTTGCTCCTCCTTTTCGGTGGTGTAGCATGGTCTTCTGGTGCCCCAGCTAGCCGTTTCATTGCGTTTTCCATGGACAGCATGTTGGAACTCGTTTGGGTCAGGGCCGACAGTACATCAGCAAGCACTTTGTCTCTGCCCTAGTGCGAAGAATTCGCTGTCTTGTTCTCTTCAGAAAGTAAATTTTCTTTCACCGGTGAAAGGGGGTCCCTTCCACTCATATTTTGGCAGTCATCCAGCGACTTTCTCAGTGTTCACTCAACACTGAGTGAATGAAACAACAAACGTCGGACCTTCCCAAAAGGATCGCAGGGCTCATGTGCTTTCTCACGTGACTCCGTAGTGACCAGTGACCAATGACGAAACAGAATCTGATGCACTCTCATTCACAGACTTTGCCATAATACTAACATTATGAGAAAGCTTGAAATCTGCACCGTATCTCAGAAAGCTAGAACCACAAGACCGCAGAAACACTGGTTAGAGCATGCTCATTAAAACTGAATTGTAAGGAGCATGCTCTGTATGGGATAATCCACAGGCCATAGGCAGAACCAGAAAAGAGAATTAACTTTTAATTGAGCCTGATTAAGATAAATTTATCAGTACTGACAAAGTTAATTATCAAAAGTTCCTAAATAAATACAAAAATTCCCTTATTCTTCCTGGTGTAGAAAAAAAGTTTCATAGAGTATGTCTGTAACAAAAACTGTGTAATGTCCGCAGCAACATGTTTTTACCTCGGGCTCAAAATCTAACTACACAATAAGGGATGTAACTAGATTTTAAAACACTAAGACGGAGCTTTGTTCCTGTTATCAGTAAATGATATTTGTCAGAAAGGTCAATTCACAGGGAAAAAAGTGTCAAGTGAACACATAAAACTGTAGGTTGCTTTTTTTGTAATGTCGGTAACAGAGTTCAAAACAAAAATATTGGTGCCTTTGTTGAAGAAAGGAAAGTTTCTTCTCTGCTGATAGTCATGATAGGAATGATGGTACAAATTATGAATTGAAAAAAAAACTGTGTAAAATAAGTTTGTTAAGGAAATAAGTTTCCAAAAAATTGCTTTCTGAATGTAATGTCCATAACATGAAATTGCCCTTATTATGCCGAGCTAAGTGTAGCAATATTCAACTTGCGATTTGCTTACTTCTATTCAATTTCATCCTCAATTTTCATTCAGTTCAATATGAAATCCTTAAATGTAATAATTCATTTTTATTCAATTTACTCCGCAATCATTCAATTTAATAATTGATATTTATTCAATTTAATCTATTAAAAGTCATTCAGTCCGAACACTGATACTTATTCAGTTCAATCCTTCCATATTTGTTTAATTTAAAATTTAGATATTTTTTTAATTTGGTGTCTGTGAAAGCACAGCCAGCTCAGCGTTCACCACACGGGTCAAGCTGATGGCCAAAGAACTCGATTGGCTGATTTCATGGTCAGACAGAAAAATAATTCAGAGGGACTTGTCATCCACGTTTAGAAAGTATTATCTTAAATATCGTGTCATCATTGACTGTACAGAATTGTTTGTTGAAACCCCATCAAGTTTAGAAGTTGCAGCGATGTGCTGGTCAAACTATAAACAACACTATACAGCCAATTTTTTAATTGGCATTACCCCAAATGGTCATATTTCATTTGTAGCTGAAACTTATGGGGGCAGGGCCAGTGATGTTTTCATAGCAGTGAACAGCAAATTCTGTAACAAGCTGCAGCCTAATGACCAAGTGATGGCAGATCATGGCTTTAAGATCAATAACCTACGTGCTTTTCATCAGTGTTCACTGAAAATACCACCAAGCAAACATGGAGACTTGCAGATGTCAGCATCAAATGTCCAGGAAACTTCTATCATTGCAAGTGTTAGAATTTATGTTGAGCAAGCAATCAAAAGCATAAGAGATTTTTATATCCTAAAGAAAGAACTACCTGTTAGCTTGTTGCCATTACTAGATGACATTGTAGTTGTGTTTTCTGCTTTCTGTAACCTGAAAAAATATTTGACCCAAGACATATAGGGAACTGAAAACAGAGAAATTGGTTTGGTAATAGGTTCAATGGTGAATTAACTTTAAAAAACAGTTTTTATTGAACAGAAATGAATTGTATTACACGATATAATATATGATAGTACAAAATACATGCATTGTTTATACAAAGAACAAGCTTTGTAGTCTTGAAGTTTGAATCTATTCTCAGGTTAAACCAGGATTTCCTTTGTCTCCTAACCCTGGTTATGAATTAGTGAATTGTTTAGAAGACAAAAGAAATTCTGGATCAAACTAGATTGAATACTGGTTAGACCTGAATGAATACTTGTAAAAATAGCACCTATAAAAATTTAATTTGCAAATACTCTGTTTCTTGTTTTCGTCTAAGTATTCTGTAACTATAATTTTGGTATTGTAATATATCTCTTGTTTGTAAATTGCTTCAAACAGAGCCCCATCTAAACCATCTGCAGAACTAAGCACTTCTGTCTAGATACTATTATAAATAAATAAAAATTCTTTGTTACCACAGAATTTTTTATATTAGCAGTTACTGTATTCATGGAAGTTTTGAAGCATACCAAAGAAACAGAAAACTTTCTCCCACCCTGAGATCTTCCAATAACAAGTTATTTTGTGCACAAAGGTATACCTTTTGTACAATGACCTAAAATCAAGTGATTCGGTTACTTTAATTTTGTGCAGTATGGATATCACTTTTGGCATTTGGGACAAATACATTTTTTTTCTAAAATTTCAACTTTAATATTTTTTTTCTCGGCAAATAATTTGAATTACCTCACAATACTAGGTCACTGCATTGATCAATATATAAATATGCAAAAAATATTTCCCAGTCAGCTCTGTTTAATATTTCCAAAAAATCTAAGCATGTCATCTAATGCTAGCATGGAGCACGACTGAAAGACAAAACCTGCATGTAGATTCACTGCAGAACCAGTACAAGCCCAATGACACCACAATGAACATGATTGACACTGGACGCTGTTTTCTTCCTCATCATCAAATTCCTCGGGTTCAAGGCATGGTTTAGAACAGAGGAAACAATAGCAAATGGGCCTGAAATGAAGCAAAAATCTCTGCACGTACGATTTAAGAAACACAATCAGTATAGAAAGAATGTCTCGCCAAAACACATTGTCAAACACAATGACCTCTATATGGGGTTTCCCTTTGCAAGTCCAAACAACAAAAAAAGGTTATTTTATAGCCAGAGATTCCCATTTGACTTTTCACCTGAAAGTGATATTTATGTGATCTTTTGAGGCGCAGTTTTTCATCAATCTCAAGAAAATCAGTTTTCTCCCATCCTTCTTCAATGGTTAAATCCTTTGTCGAGTAGGGGCATTTATACTCTGTGCAAGAGGACCCACAGCATGAACATGTAAAAACATTGTATGGGGTAGCACCCAAATAAGGGTGTGCTTTGCAAAAAAAAGACCACATGCATGCATTTTAGGGTTGGCATGTTGCTTGCCTTCTTCATTGAAAAATGCGGCACCTGCATCTTTTTCATGCAGGCGACCCCACTTTATTGCTGGAATATTGCTGAGGTCTGTGGGTTCGAAAAACCTCGCAGGCAACGGTGTTACTTTGGTTTTCACCTCTTTCCCTCATTCTAAGAAATTTCTCTACTTTTGCATATACATCATGAAAGTTTGAAGCAGTGATTCTTTCCTTTCTCTGCTCTTTCCACAAGTTTTGACCTAACTGGTTCCTTGTTGCCTTCTCAAGCTCCTCAATGTTGCTGTCATAGAATGGAAGTTTTTCCGAAAACAATCTTGCTAGCTCCTCTTCACTTAAATTAGGGTTATTTTCTAAGATGTCATAGGCAATTTCTTGAAGAGTTGGTGGCACATCCTCTTCTACTGGTGGGGACAATGAGATATTTAGCACAGCCTCAGGTATATGCTGTCGCGCAGAACACGGAAATGCCTGTTTGTCTTCATCTGATATGTGTGATGCTGGTCAAGGGTCAAAATCCTACTGCGTACAATCATTCAATGAAAATTTGGGGTTTAGGTTTTGTCTTTTGTGGGCTTGTATGTCCATGTCCTTAATCTTCCCAAGCTGGATGTCTCTGCTTGATTTGTTCCACACACAGGCTGGATCTGTACAATCCAGGCCTATGTATCCTTGTTGGTTGGCAAACTCTACCTTATACAGAACTGCAATAACATGATTACAACATTTACTGTATCCCGCTGTAAAGCTACAGTAACTGCAAAGAACTTCGCCTGAGGGCTTACGGATAATCCAGACCTTGTGTGGAGGCTCCCTAACGCGTTGAGAAGCGGTTACACTAGCAAAGAGCAGAATAATACCTTTTGGGACAGACTTTGTAAATACTTCATGGACAAAACCACTCTTAAAATATGAGCAAGTTTTCTGACCTTATACTGGCCAACATACTCAGTAAAAAATGCCTTCATTTCTAAAATGTAGCTGAATATTTGTCCAATATACTACTTTGGTCATCTCATCAGTTCTTCTTCCCAGTCATTCATATCCAAAGGATCTTTCGGCAAGTCATATTTCTTTAAAAGCTCCTCGTGTTGGTGCCTCAAGCCTTTGGATAGGTCTCCAGCTGACTGTTTTACAGGTAATTGCGGCTCAAAAGTAACCAGAGCTCGAGCAGCTAGGTCGGAGTGTGTTCCAGATGATGGCAAAGCTCTTTGCTGCAAATGAAACTTCAGTTCTCCATGTGACAACTCCAGGAAATCTTCGAGATGCTTGGCAGTCGCCGACCGACTTTTTTGCCAGTTATTCTCGAAATCTTCCAGTTTCCGGTCTTTTTCAGCGTTTCTAGACGAGCGATATGTCTTATTTTTAAATCTGTAATCGGAAAGCAAAGCAATTGAGAGAGGACGCGATCAAAGGCAAAGATCAAGCGCTACAACAATAGATGCAATAAACCGTGTCTGCCATGTTGTTTTGGTTTGCCCTGATTGCCCATGATGTAACTAAGAGCGTGAACCCGTCTATTGGACACTTTAGAGCAATAGGAAATACCATACAGCGAAGGAGGATCAAAGAGAGAGTTCAAGCAAGGTAGATCCAAGGAACACCACATTGAGGTGAGGTGCATTAGTGTTAGGGGGATTGTGCTTTGTCCCGTGGCCAAACTCATTATGGCATTTAGACGGTCAATACTCATTGATTTGCTGGGGCTTTATAATACACGGATGCATTGTTGGTTATTCAAGAAGAATTATTTTCCTTCATTGCAGCAAAAATTATCGTGCTTCAACAGTTCTCTTGCATCAGGGTATATTATGGTGTGGAGAACACTGCTGTATGTGATGCAATGGTGGCTGTTCAGGGAGAAGGTCAGGGTAGTTTCATTACTAGGTCATCCACGAGAAATCAGAGAATTGAGAGATTATGGAGAGATGTTTTCAGATATATCTGACATCCATTTTTCTACATATTCTAAGCAATGGATAAAACTGGGGTTTTGGATGTTGAAAACGCTATTCACATGTTTACTTTATAGTATGTCTATTTGGCAAGAATAAATAATGCTTAATCTGAGTGGATGATCTCTTTCAATAACCATCCTGTCCAAACAGAACGCAGTCGGTCACCAAATCAAATGTGGTTGAATGGGGTAATGCATCCATGCAATCCTCTTACTAATGGTAGTAATGATGTTCAGCCTGGACATATGACATTTTATGGAGAAGATCCTGAAGCACCGATACCAACTGAAGAATCCAACAACAATGTTGAAGTGTTCCTTGCCCAGTTACCAAGCAACAACACTGATGAACTGGTGGCCTATTTAAATACTGCTGTTGATCCTTTACAGGAGTCTTCTAGTTTTGGTGTAGACATTTATGCTAAAGCTCTTGAAATTATATTTCAGAAGTTAGAGGAAAATCACTTAAGAAGACACTGATGAAGTTGTGTCTTTGTATCTAGAACCACCTCGCCGCATTCATAGCTTGTAACAGGTATCCGCTCATTTATTTGGATGCACACGTCGCAGAATGTGTTCCTTCCGAAAAAAAACTCTGTACATCACATTCGACAGAACCCAAGAATGGGTTCCATTTGAACTATAGAATCGTCTGTTACAGTGTCCTTTTTTGTCTGAGTTATCTTTTATTGCATGATGTATAGAGAATATAACATGGCGGCTTGTGAGCAAATCGAACTAGTGAGAGATATCAACACAAAAAGATAAAATTCCTGTCAACAAGGGGACATGTAATATTGTGTTTAATGCAGACCTCTATAGACACAATCGCCTAACTCAGGAGCGGCGATCACGTGACTTGAAATGGGTGTCGAATCAAAACAAACACATTTCAGTTCGCACGTGGAAATTTCATCCTAAAAATGCCGCACTTTTGCTGCGCTGGAGAATGCGAGAATAGCTCTGATAAACATCCAGATATTTCTTTCCATGGGCTTCCGCTCGATAATAAGGCATTATTGAAGACATGGATTGCGAAAATGCGAGGAAATCTCAATTATTTTAATGTAAACAAGCATGTGAAGATTTGCAGCGAGCATTTCAGCTCTGAGGATTCCATCGATCCTGACGCGAAAAAATACAGACTGAAACGCAGCGCATCCCTTCTATATTTGCCTGGAGTAAGGAAAGTCCAGAAACTGTCATAAGGTCTGTGGTAGAAAAGCTGAACACTAGTGGGCAAGAGGAAGAAGCGACTGACACAGCATTCGAGGGCGAAGGTGACGAAACTTTAAATCTGTCTGGGTTTAGTTTGACTTCACGCAAGACTCAAACGCAAGAGGATGATCTCTGCGAAATCACGGATATATCTCACAGGATACCATGTCTACATAGCTTTTTTGTGTACCACTTGCCATCAAAGTGCACTATGCTCTCCAAAGAAGAGAAGCAGTTTATACATTTCACTGGTTTTAATTCCTATGTTGACTTTATGAATACACTTAAATTTCTATTGCCCAATCTTGACCGAAAAAATCTGATTTACTGGGATAGCGAAGCTGGAAAATCAAGCGTGATAGACACTGAAAAACTGTTCGAGGAAGGTGAAACTGAAGGAGAAATGATTGCTTTGAAAGGGAATTAACAATGACAAGACCCTCTGCACACAAACTTTCAGTGGAGGATGAGTTTCTTATGTTACCGATGAAGCTGAGAATGGGATCTAACATTGATTTAGGAGAGAGATTTTGTGTATCCAAGAGTACGGTTAATAACATTAATCTTACCTGGGTTAATTTTGCGTACGATGTAATCAGTAGCCTCAAAATATGGCCACATAGAGATATAATTATAAAACATTCTCCAGAGGAATTTATCAAGAAATATCCCAACACTATTGCGATTGTTGATGCCAAGTCTCCAGTTCATAACAAAAGCACAGAGAGAGTTACAGTACTTACAAGTCCCACATAACCTTTAAGTCTCTCATAGGAGTGGATCCTAATGGAGGCATTATGTTTGTGTCTCAATTATTTGAGGGATCCATTTCTAACAAACAAATAGTGCAGAGGTCAAGGTTTCTGGAAACTGTGAAACAGAAAGTACAATGTGGATAACTAAAAGAAGGAGATGCCATCATGGTAGACAAAGGTTTTGACATTGGTGATGACCTTGCAAAACTGAAATTGAAATGGAATATTCCTCCCTTCTTGAAGGACAAAGTGGGATTCGAAGAGGGTGATGTAATGAAGACCCAGACAATAGCACAGCATCGCATTCATGTTGAAAAAGCTATAGGGAAGGTTCGGAGATTCAGAATTTTCCACTCTGTCATTCCAGTTTCTATCTGTGGAAGTATTAATCAGACATGGAGTGTTACCTGTTTTCTTTCTAATTTCTTAAACCCAGTCCTTTCTAAAGATGAAATATCATAAAGATGAAATATCACAAAAGACATAATTATTCTTCTGCTAGTCAACAAAGACACCCTTAAATTTTACTTTGATTTCCTAATGATGGTGTTTTACAACAGAGAAAATAACATGTATAAACACAGGAAATGTATTGTGCCTTTTACAGTATGATTTGTCCACTATTGCCACATGAGTATGATTTCTATGTTACTGTTAAGTACTTCATACATTTGCCCATTTTTCATGTTCAGCCAATTGGAATTCTCAAAAAGTTTTATTGACCAATAGAATCTCTTCACCTATACGCATCATCGAATTATTTAAAATGTTTCTGCCTGGAAGAAAGGCCTGTTCCCTAAGGCCTGGAAGAAGTCGGAAGTAGTGCCACATCTTAAAGATGGTGATCACGAGATTCCTAGTAACAATCGCCCTATTTCATTATTGCCTGGTAACAATCGCCCTATTTCATTATTGCCTAGTAACAATCGCCCTATTTCATTATTGCCTGTACTTTCTAAAGTGACCGAAAAGATCGCCCTGAATCAGTTCACTGATTATTTGACTCAACAAGGCAACCTCACCTGTCATCAAAGCGGAAACCGTAAACACCATTCTTCTGAAACACTGAGTTTGCTTGTCACCGGTCATATACATAAAGCAATGGATAAAAAGGAGATCACAGCTATGGTCCTAGTCGACTTGAGCAAGGCTTTTGACAGCATATGTCATAGAACTCTCCTCACCAAGCTGAAAGGGCTCAGTGTGTCAAATGAAGCGTCAAAGTGGTTTGAGAGCTATCTTACAAACCGAATGCAGTCAACACGACTCGGTACATCTCGCTCTAGTGAGTTAACTGTCACACATGGAGTACCACAGGGGTCCATTCTAGGGCCTCTTATGTTCAGCCTTTACATAAATGACCTACCGTCCATTGTTAAGTTTTCAAGCGTAGAGTCACATGTTCATGACACAAAGGTTTATCTTTCGTGTTCATCGAATAATATTGACTCCTGCCTTGCAAAAGTCTCGGAAGATCTCCGACTTATTGCCTCCTGGTGCTGTTCGAATAACTTGCTTATTAATCCAGACAAAACTGAACCTATTTTTTTGGGAACGAAACAGCTTTTAAGTGGGGTTCCTGATATCAGAGTCCCCTTTCTTGGGCAACACTTAATTCCTGTGTCCTTAGTCAAAGACCTGGGTATAATATTAGACTCGAACCTTACTCTTAATGAACACGTTAACACCCTGACCTCGTCTCTTATTTCTAACTTATGTCAGATAAGCAGAGCTAGGCACTTGTTTTCCAAATCAGTACTTACCATCATTTTTAATTGTCTACTTTTTTGTAAACTCTTTTATTGCTCGACAGTTTGGTCTGGAACGTTTGCGTACGACATAAACAAATTGCAACTTGTACAAAACTTTGCTGCCCGTGTGTTGACAAACAGCAAGAAGTTTGATCACATCTCACCAGTGCTGTGGGCGTTGTGTTGGCCTTCTATTAAGAACCAGTCATTAGTGCGTGATGTTACGATGCCTTACAAAATAGTCAATGGCCTTGCACGACCATATTTAGAGTGTTACGTCAACAAAAGATCAGCTATCCACAGCTACAACACTAGATCTAGAGACAACTTAGTTGTACCCTTTTGTAGGACAGCCACAGCACAGAGGTCTTTTAGTTATAGAGCAATCACTGCCTGGAATTCTCTTAAAAGTGAAGAAACGAAAAATAGCGCAACACTCTCAGTTTTCAAGCCTGTAGTAAAGCGCGAAATATATGACAGTCCGTAGGAATCCTTTTTAGGTATAGAATTTTAAGAATATGTTAGTTATTTATTTGTATTTGTTTCTTTATTATGACATTATTGTAACTTTTATAGGTATTTTTATTCGATTTCCAATTATTGTAAACTAAATCGGAAGAGCCACTGGGTGGAGATTTAATAAACTTACTCACTTACTTACTTGCCTGGTGGAAACAGAAGCCTGCATCACACTATAAAGTGCTGGTGGTAAAATAAAAGTTTTATTGATCAGTAGAATCTCTTCACCTGTATGCACCATAGAGGTATTTAAAATGTTTTTGCTTGGTGGAAACAGAAGCCAGCATCACACTATAAAGGGCTGGTACAAGAAATATTAGATGAAAATAGTTTCCACCATTTCAACTCCAATCATGTGCTGCAAAATGCTAGACAAGATATTTTAAGGCATAATCAAAATAATCAAAATAAAATTCCTTCAGTTTAGGTAGTAATTGGGTGGACGAGTAGATGTCATCGAATGGGATTCTCTCAACACACATTTCATTTGTATCAGAAAGGAAAACAGAAAAGTCACACCATTTAATTCCTGTAATAGCCATTTGTCCCTTTGCTTGCTCATTATAGCCAGAAGAATGTCCTGTGTTCAGGTAAAAACTCTCTCCTGTTTTTTCTAAATAAAAAGTAGGGTCTGCTGAGGCCTGCTCCTAGGTATCTGCCCTCTTTGAAAATGGACACTTAATCTCAAGAAGACCATAGCATGGGTCAGCAAGAGGCTCAGAGATCTTCCCATCAGGACTTGCCCCTAGGTATGGGAGGTATGGATTAACACACAGGCCTGCATCAAAAACTGTAAAGTTCTTTGCCACTTTTTGCATGTTGCGTGCAAATATTGAGTGTGCCACTCTCTCTTCAGCTTTTCCATGTGCAATAGCTCTGACCTTTGACAGGTCGTTGTTGGCAACCAGGCTTTTTACCATAGCTTCAGATGGCCTGTAAACACATAGAAACACCTTGCCAAAGCTGGAAGCAGTAAGGCGGACCTTGTGTTGCTCCAGCTACTCCTTCGATTTTCCTTGAAGAACATTTCTCTTTTCAAGGGCTTGGGCTTTGTCGTGTCTCGCAGAATTGAATGAATCAAACTACTACAACACAACAAGGTTTAATCTAACATGGCAGTTTCTATTCAATGAAAGGCACACATGGCATGCGTGCGCATAACAGTAACAAAACCGCAGACCATCATGTGCGACATAGCATTCCTCCCCCCTTAGATCACATTCTACTAATAACGCACAAGTTCAGTTCAGTTACAGGTTCAGTCTCTCTGGTGGCTTCCGTAGCCAAAGGGGTGGTGTTGTCGGACTGCTAACCATGGTCTCACTTTGGCTGCTGGGAGGGTTGTCAGGGGTGTTGTCCACATGTGTATCTTTGGTCCATGGTTCTTCCATGCCACTCATAGTGGGAGCCTGTAATTCTTCTTTATTCTGCACGCTACTTGCTGATTGTGGTGTTGCTGCCAACACTACTGGGTTTAATCGCAGTGTGTAGTGTTCCTTATTAGAGTTTGGAGTCACTGCAGACTCTCTGAGTTGATCAACATGCCGCCGCCATACTGTATTGGGTGCGACCTTGACTTCATATGACAAGGGTCCCATGTGAGCTGTGATGATCCCCGGAACTCGCTTGTTTCCAGCTCTGTAGTTTCGGGCGATGACAGCTTGGCTTAACTCTAGCTTTCTGGCAGGGCTGTGAATTGACCGTAACTCTTGATCTTGCTGTTTGTCTTCCACTCACTTCCGTAAGTTAGGCTTCAGTATATCAAGCCTTGTCCTGATGTTTCTCCCATGAGGAGCACGGCTGGTGTCTCTCCAGTCAAGGCATGTGGGGTTGATCTGTATGCCAGCAAAAAGTTTGCCTGCTTCCAAGTGATAGATTTCTTTTCCACCAGCGCTGCACAGAGAGCTTGCTTGGATGTCTGTACAAAACGTTCAGCCATTGCATTTGTGGCTGGGTGGTATGGAGCTGACTTAATGTGCTTAATACCATTACTTTGCATAAATTCTCCGAATTCATCTGCTATGAATTGAGGTCCATTATCGCTTACAAGCTGTTCTGGAAAGCCGTGTGTGGCAAAGAGCTTTCTTGGTTCCTCAATTGTTATGCTGGCAGTTGTAGTGGTCATCGGTATCACTTCAGGCCATTTAGAATAATAAACATAGTTCCTAAGAATGGGCCAGCAAAGTCAATGTAGATGCATTGCCATGATCGTGCCGGCCACTCCCATGAGTGAAGTGGAGCGGTCTTAGGGTTGTCCTGAGTAAGTTGACAGCCAGTGCACCCCTTTGCCACTTCTTCAACTGCTTTGTCCATCCCTGGCCACCACATGTAGCTCCTGGCCAAGGCCTTCGTCTTAACGATTCCAAGGAGGCCTTTATGGAGCTCAGCTGACGGTTGTGCCTGGTGCTTGAGTGGGATTATCACTCGTGAGCCCCACATAAGGCAGCCATCCTGTATGGTGAGCTCATCTTTCCTCCTCTGAAGTAGCTCCAGCTCCTTCTCATTAACAGTTGGCCACCCTTGCTTTATGTTTTCCATCACACATGACAAACTGGATCTCTCTGAGTTACTTGACGGATCATATCTGCATTGACTGACAGCACTTCTATCTGGGATACTTGAAAAATCTCCACTGGGTCAACCACTTCCTTGTCAGAGGCTTTCTTTAGAGGTAGGCGTGACAATCCATTCGCGTTTCCATGTTGGGTTGTGTTCTTGTACTCAATACTGTATTGAAACCCTGCTAGAAAGAATGCATAACGTTTTAAGCGAGCAATTTCATTGCTGGTATTCCTTTCTTAGGATTAAAAATTGATATCAGGGGCTCATTATCTGTCACGAGCGTAAAATGACGACCAAACAGGTAAAGGTGGAATTTCTTGACTCCCCAAACCAAGGCTAGGGCTTCTTTATCAATTTGGGAGTAGTCCCTTTCTGCTAGCTTAACAAATATGTCATCGATGCGTGGAAGTGGGTACTCCTCTGTCTGAAGCTGGGGGTTAACTGTGGTCTTATAGTCACCACAAATTCGAACTGTGCCGTTTGATTTTGCAACGAGCACAATAGGTATCGCCCAATCGCTAAATTTGACATTGTGTAGTATGCCTTCTTTTTCTAGACGTTTCAGCTCTACCTCGACCTTAGGTTTCATGGCGTATGGGACAGGCCTTGTTTTACAAAACTTTGGTTGACTGCCTTCCTTCAAGGCGAGTTTCGCCTTGGCTGACTTAAATATGCTGATTTCATCCTTAAACACCTCACTATAGTTGTCTATGAGTCTCTCTAATTTCTTCTTGGTGTCTTGTGTCGGCTGTTCTTTTGAAATAGCACAGATCCTTTTCCAATCGAGTTGTATCTAGTGTAGCCAATCTCTTCCAAACAACACCGGCCCTTGTGTTTTCACTACATATAGCGTAAAGTCCTTGACTTGGTTGTTGTGTTCCACGCGAACAAGTAGTTTGCCTTCTGGTGTTATCTTCTCTCCTGAGTAGGTTTTCAAAATAGCGGTAGTGTCAACCAGAGGTGTGTTTGGGAAGGTTTCCTTATACGTCTTCGAGGGGATTGTAGATATTGCTGAACCTGTGTCTAGCTCAATCTTCAGTGTGTGGACATTAACTTTTGGTTTCACCTAGATGACGTCACCGACTACATTGTTGACTTCTAGGGATGCCACCAAGCTATCATCATCACGTTCATCACCTACCTCAAACAAGTGAAGGTTGGGGTTCTTGTCCCTTCATCTTCGGGTAGAGTTCTGACTCCTTCCTGAGTAGCATACTCTTTGGATATGACCTAATTTCTCGCATATTCGGCATGTTTCATTCCTAAAGTAACACTCGGCTGACTTGTGTGTACTACCCCCACATCGATTACACTGAGATTTTGATTTGACATCATCTTTCCCTTTAGGAACTCTTTCGCTATCCTTGTTTATTTTGTTGACTTCAGACTCTTTATTAATGTTACCCTGCAATTCTAGTGTGTCTTTCGCTGCTGCTTCGATTGCCAAGGCAATTTCTGACGCTTTGGCAAATAACAAATCTGGCTCGGAGAGCAGCCGTTTCTGGATAAGTTTATTGTGCAGTCAACACACTAGACTATCTCTTAACGCGTCATTCAAGTTAGTTCCGAATTCACAATACAGCGACAATTTCTATAACTCAGCAAGATAAGAACTTACGATTTCACCTTCGAGTTTGTTCCTTTTGTGAAAGCTCTGCTACGAGCAGTGGTCTCGGTGACAGATGCTTTTGTAGTGTTTCTATGATAGTCTTGAAAGACAGGCTGGATGGCTTGGCTGGGGTGGCCAAATTGCGTAGTAATCCATGCGTTTTGTTTCCCATTAAGCTTAGCATTACGGCCACTTGCTTGTTGTACTTGATTTCGTTGGCGATGAAATATTGTTCTATACGTTCCACATAGGCCTTCCAATCGTCGTTCGATTCGTCAAACGCTTCAGTCTTTCCAATCGGCATAGTGGTGATAGCTCGAGGTTTCTCTGGTTGCTGCGTAGGATCTAAATCCTCGTCACCAGTCTGTTGTGTCTCGCGGAATTGAATAAATCAAACTAGTACAACACAACAAGGTTTAATCAAACATGGCAGTTTCTATTCAAAGACAGGCGCACATGGCATGTGTGCGCATAATAGTAATAAAACCGCAGACCATCATGTGCGACATAGCAGGCTTAAGCAAGGTTAAGGCTGAGATTTAATTGAAAGAAGTCTCGAGAAGTGTCAAAATCCAGGTTTGTTATTAGTCTAAGTTCGTTGGTATCAAATAGTTGGACAGCTTGGGGGTTGGGAAAGAAAGGAAGATCAGGAAATGACAAGGAGTTGCAGTGGCCGGTAATGTTGGACTTCTAATTCTATTAAAATGAAACTTTGTGTTTGGCCTACAAAAGTCCTCCAGCTGGTAGGCCAAAGGTGAACCCAAAAGAACATTTCTAAGGACAGTATTTACTTTTATTGTGGGCCCTTGGTCGCCCAACAGACGAGAAAACGGTGGGGGATTGTTCTTCATCCGCATCATTTCTACGTTTGACAACATGTGCTGCATATCTACCTGTTGGAGTTTTGGCCCTCTGGCCTCGTAAAGCTTGCATTTTACAGGGTCCCTATTCCCTTCTCCACTTCTATCTGTTGTAGCTTTGGTGTCATGAGTTCCCATAACCGGCATGGGGGAAATAGATGTAGCTCTAGGAATGTGCCAAGATTGTGGCTGACTAGTACAAGTGGCATCACTTGGAATGTCTTTAATTCCCAACGATGAGTAGTCGTTTAACTGAAACAGAAGGGCAAACACGTGGTTGCAATGTCCACCACTTCCTCCCTTGCACGAACCGTGCACCTGAGCCACAACTGCTCGATCTCCAATTTTCATTTCCACCACTAGGTAGTGGGGTTCTTCATTCTTGCAAAGCCATTGATAGCAGCGAGCTTTCACAAGACTTTCACCCACAGCAGAGGTTGAAGTGTAAACATCTTACACATAGCCTTCTCTGAAAAACTTATAACTCTTCTTGCCAGCATTTTTCTTTCCTTCACTCTCTAAACACTTCGAAATTGTATCACGACATACCTTAGGAAAATTTCTCAATGATTTTGACCGTTAAAAATTTCCTTGTGTGAAGAAATAAGAGCAAGACTCTTGCAATAGAAGCAACATCGCGACGCCATTTTCTGACGCTTTGTGATGTAAACACCCTATTCAAACCACTTGACGTGTTAGCTGATTGTGTCTATGAAAGATGAAGAGCAAGACTATTAACACTGAGCTACTGAGTTGGTCGCTGTGTTAAGAAGTCTACTTCGGGAATGAGGTTATGGCATTTTGAAGGTTTTGTTTTTCTTTTATAAAAATTCCCTTTCAGCATTGACCAGTGCTAGTCAATGGTGATAATTTTGCGCACCTTTCAAAGAAATGAAGAGTCGCATTCCATTTTTTAATGGGGAGGGGGGGGGAGTGAGGAGTGGTAGGAGATAAGGGATAGTTTTATTCTGGGAGGATAGAGGTAGGCACGTGATTCATGGTTTTATCTCACCCCAAGTCTCCAATGCTCATGTGTATGCTGATACGCGCAAATGAACAGTCGTATTGAGTTCCCAATACTAAATTTTGATTAAAAAATTTGATTTCCTCTTTTGGTGCAGTTGTTGTGCAAGCTATTTTTAGTGCCATGGCTTTACCTAGTCATTGGAGAGGCATGTTAATTTATCTTAATTGTGTTATTTATACAAAAGAAAATAGTAACCGACAAAGCTCCCCTTTTTCTCAAGTACCAGAATCAACAAAGGAAGTGGTTATGTAAGAAATGGGACAGGTGTATCATGTTTCTACTGAGTTAAAGTATAAATCTACAAGCCTTCTATCACTAATGCCACAGATGCCATTCTCTAATTGGCTATGCTACTCACTATCTATTCTGTCATGGTGCAAACAAAATGACGGCTGCTTCTTTTTGTTTTCAAAGCGTCTATTAAGAGGATTTTGACAAAGTTTTCATGGCTAGTAGATTTATACTAAAACAATTTGATTATTTGCTCTTGATTTCTATGCGTAATAGTTGAGTCGGGCTGCGCCCTCGTCAACTCTCAAACGATAGAAATCTCATGTCCCCAGCAGTTAAAAATCGTGCCCTTTGTTGCAATAGGCACAAATAGAGGACAGAGTCACCAAAGTCCTCTGTTTTCTCTTTTCAAGTCCCAGCTCCAACGGTGGGGAGCGTTCTTATTAAGAGGTCTATCGTGAGGAAAGTAGCCTAAATATCTGATCCATTAAGTCTCATCAGTACGTTCATAGTCCAAGCAAAGATCCTTATTCAAGATTTATGGGCAATGGGCTCGGGTGCTTTTGGAGATTTAAATTTTTTTTTCGGAAACGTTAGGTAAAATGTTGGAGTCAAATAAAGGGAAAAATTGATCTAATTGGCTTCTGAAGCTGGGAAGTAACCTGAAATCGATTTTCTTTACATTCAATAAAAAGTCCTTTATAGAGATCCCTGCTTTCTAGAGCAAAGCCAGGACTCCAAATGCGCCACACTTGTGAATCTTCTGATCAAAGGAAAAATATATATTGTCGACAGAAATGTTGATTCATGCTTTGCCGAAAACTTTAGTGCATAAACTCTTATGGTAGGTTCACAGTAGTAATTCAGCGCCTCTAATGGTCTGAATGAGTGCACAAAATGGTCATTGAAGAATCGTGAACCTTAAGTCATTGCACATTATATCTGACAAAAACAAAGGTGCGAAATCTCAGCAAATCAATCGTCCTGCTACAAAAAACAGGAAGGTCCTAATTCATTTTAAAATTGAAATAGTTACATAGGGGCGCTTTTTATGCAACGCATCATGAAAATATTTGTGTCCTTGGCAAGAAATATCCACAGTAGACGAGCCTATTTCTTAGCAAAGTTTGAAAGCAAGACGTTTGAAAATTTGTCAACTACTAGCATGAATTTGTATACAATGCTCTATTGTCCCTTTATACCTTTCTTTTATTTTTTCTTTTTGTGAGGAGTGAGAACTCTAAATTTCACCTAGCTTCTTTTAATCAGTATAACCAATTTGATTGCTGATCATTCTTTACAAAGTTGCCACATCTAAATTGTGATTGTTCATTATCTCTGAAATCTCTGTATTATGTTTCATCTATAAAGCCACTCATGTGTCAACTTTGATCGATCATCAAGATTGTTGGCTGATCGAAGTTCAAAGTCACCACGAAATTGTTTTTTCCGTTCATGACTTTTGCTATCATCCAGGGTAAGCCTGAGTACACTCCTCACATTTTCAACCTTTCGCCAGTGGTTGTCACAATAACTCGTTCGCGTGTGAAGCTTTTATAGTCATTGGCGATGTTTGCCTTGCTTTATTTGCCCTGAGATCCTTATAAACTTTGTTGGAAGAAGGAATATTGTTCTCTTACTAAAGATATTATACGTTCTATATGTTGAGCTTCTAATAAGTTAAACTGGGTTGAAAACCAACTCGCCAACATCTCTACTCAATTTGTATGTCGGCGAGTTGGCGTTGGCGAGTTGAACCATCAGCCACTTGACCGTAATTCACAGTAACAGTGGCATTAAGAGGCGATCTCTGTAAGAGCGGTCCAGGGCATTTCGCATCGGAAAAACGTTTTCCCTTAAACTTGGCCCAATAAACTATCTTTGGTAACAAGTAAATAAAACCACATTAGTTTCTGAAAATACGTTAAAGTAAAATTTTTAGAGCTCTCAAAACTCAAAGCTGCAAAAGGCCTTTTTTTGACCTCTTGCGACATCGAAAATTTCAAAAGTTGAATAGCCCGGTCCTCGTATCACACCGCATGCAACAAAAAATATTTTGTATTCTTAAAGTGTGTGCTATATAAGGTGTATAAAATGCATTTCAATTTTGATATTCGTTTATTCAGAGGCTCGTCATAATTTATTTAAAAACACTTGTTGGACAGCTTTCTGAAATTGGTTAAAAGTACTCTTTCTTGCTTGGTTGATATTGCTCAAGTCCAGACCAGACTATTAAAAACTCCGCTTGATTTATGCTAATAAGGTGTTTGGCTACAGAAAAATACACTCGCGCACTTATTGATTTTCTTCGCAGAGGTGACTTCAAACTTTTAGCGGTATTGCTAGCGTGACAGCCGATTATGCAAATTAGTTCATTGAGTAAACTCCGACCGTTTTATATGGGTAGCTCAATAAATCTTAGATTTTAACCATTTTGGGTAGAAAATATAGTAGAAATATAGTAGACAGAGCTTTACGACCACACCGATTAATACCTTAAACATTTTAAAAGGCCAAAATTTAACAAATTTTAATATCTCGTGATGAAAGACGTCAACAACAACGTATCGAACAACATAATTTGATTAGCGCTCGCAAACTCTTTTTTAAAGATTTGGCTTCTGTTATTTCATATTTGAGTTCTGACAGCTTACGCTATTCAAACCTGTATGAACATTTCAAAACCAAACTACAGGATTCCATTTAGTGTAACCGGCGATAACAGCACACACTGAAATACACCGTGACCACTGTCACGTAATTCAATTGTGTAATTATCCTGGATTGCTTCTCCCTTCGTAATAAAGCAGTGATGGCTCGGATTTCTAACTGAAAGGGAAAAAATGATATTTGGTCGTTACACCTGTCTGTATAACAGTCTCTGTTCATAAGTTTGAAGAGTCCTTGTGAAAAAGGATATCGCACTCGCATAATTAACGGGTGGATGTCATAACTAGATTGCATAGCAACTGCACTCCGACATCATTTCCTCCATTTTTGCAAGAGGTGCTGCATTTGTATCTTGCATTTTGAATGCGAGCTCAAATTGTTTGCACATGTCTCTTAGCATCTCGACTTTGAGACTAGGCAACCTTGCTTCTCTTAGCTCCTATCTCATCCATTACTGTGTTCCTCGCCTCTCTCAAACACCCTTCGTCTACATCAGAAGGGGATGCCTCTATCAAGTGGTCGTCTGCGTCAGTGGCATCGTCCGACTCTTGTTGTATTTCAGATCGCTGTTTAAGGCACAATCTTGAGAAGAAATCCTGAATCTGTATGTTGGATAACCACTCTGTTCTATCGAACATTCTCTATCCATCTATTGTGCAAGCAGTTCGCATATCCTTTGCTACTTTTTCTGGGTTTGGTTTCTGCCAGTGTCTCATCCGATATTAAATTTCTGTGTCAAGTACTGCCTGACGTTTTGCAAAAGCCGTTCACTTGCACCTCTCTTACGAAGAGCCCATCCCATGAGAAGCTTTGATGTACTTTTCAAGGGTTCTGTGGCTACTACGACCAGTTCAGTCGAACTTTCGCCCTCGAATAACAATGACTGAAAGTGATGAACCCACTACCTCTTCACTTTGTCATAAAGACTTTAAGTCATGCTCGTGGGCACAGGACTTACATGATGAACTAGCTTTTTCATATGGAAGTCAAGGTCGGCCTGGGTCTTAAAATCTTCATCGCAACCAGGTTCAGGGCATTGATAGGAGCTACCGTCGTTGCCACCATTGCTTTCTCTTGCTGATGCAGTTCGTCGAGCAGTAGTGGGGAAAAATGGAATCTCCTCCACCAGATCCGTCTTTTTCTGTGGAAAAATTGCAATTTTAATTTGACCGAATAAACCTTCCAGGCCCAATATTAAACGCTCTTCAAACGCACAGGCCCTCTTGTGTAAACTCAAAGCTGTGTAAGTTGCTGAAAGTGGCAATCTTGATATCCGAGCCCTCGTAGAGATAATACCAGCTTACTGTTGTGATAGCAACCTGCTTCATCCGATCTTAGAAAGGCCTTTTTTATGCCTGAATTTCGTAACTTTATGTGAGATTTTCTAGGACTTACAGCACTGAAAACCAGTCTTGATTACAGTTGTTAAGAAGGTGTACGTATAAGGTTACTTCCAGGCTTTCCTCCTGTCTTACAACAACGCTACTCACATGCCAATTGATTTCCCTCTTGAGAAAGCATTCTGCTTGCTTTTTCCGGAACTTCATCGTTATGAACTTCATTGTCCAGTCAACTATTATAAATGCTTTACCTCCCTTCAAAGTATCGACAATTTGCCGCTTGTACTGATCCTGGTTTCTGCCCTCACGATATGCCCTCTCCATTCAAAGATCTTAGCGGCAGCATTTTTTGCTTCATACAGATAGTCTTCCGCTTGGAACCTACCCAATTGAATTGTGTAGTCAGAAATAGCGCCTTTTACTTCTTCAAGAACACTCTTCAGCTTCTCACAATCCTCACACTTCATGTTGTGACTGTGACTGTGACTGCATAATTTCTGAACGTCAGTGTCAGCAGCATCGCTCAGTGCAAAGACCCTACAGTGATCGGCACATTTACATCGTCCTCTTCGCAGTGATTACGGTATGTAGTCTTCAAATACAACTTGCTCTACTGAAGCCTCTTCAGAACCTCTTTACACTAGCCCTTTTCTGCTCCCACGCTTTCCAATTCGTCTATAATTTGGAGAAAATCCTTGAAACCATCCGCTCCCTCAGCTGCAGTATTGTCTAAACCTCTATAGAACGCCATACATCTTAGAAATGGCCTTTGACATTTGCAAATTGACAGAATACCAGCTCTTTACCCCTTTGGAATCACTGCCAAGGTGTGTCGGATACTGGCACACTGAACTTTGACGCCAGAATTTCCCATAAGTGTGCCTATGCTTTGCGCAGACCCACATTTTGCCACAACTGAGTCTTCTACATCGAACAGGCCAGCCCTTGCAAAGATAAGCTCTCCTTCTGTGAAACTCTCTTTTGACAAATGGATTAAGCATAGATGACTCTTTAATGAGTCAGTACTCTGAGCTAAGTTAAACAAACCGGAAACTCCTCTTGAGTCTCCGAACGAAGTTTCTGAGGAACGCGACTGAAAACAGGACTTCTTGTGACGAATACCGCTTCAAAAATTTAGTGCTATTAATCCCAAGCAAACCAGTACCGAAAGAGACATATGAATTACAGCTAATAAAATTACGCGCTTTACAACATAGATATAGCTAGTTGTTGGAAAAACGAGGTGACGTGTAACGTAATAATTTATTTCCTAAGAAATCGCGGGGTCCTTTTCCACAAGAATTCCCTAGAGTTATGAATAGAAACTTTCAAAGAGACAGGTGTGCACACAAATTTTCTCTTATTCCTACCGACCAGAATTCTGATCCAAAAGGCGATGTTATCACTGCTTTATTACGAAGGAAGAAGCAATTCAGGATAATTACACAATTGAATTACGTGACAGTGGTCACGGTGTATTTCAGTGTGTGCTGTTACCGCCGGTTACACTATAGAGAATACTGTGGTTTGGTTTGAAATGTTCATACAGGTTTGAATAGCGTAAGCTGTCAGAACTCAAATATGAAATAACAGAAGCCAAATTTTTAAAAAAGAGTTTGAGAGCGCTAATCAGATTATGTTATTCGATACGTTATTGTTGACGTTTTTCATCACAAGATATTAAAATTTGTTAAATTTTGGCCTTTTAAAATGTTTAAGATATTAATCGGTGTGGTCTTAAAGCTCTGTCTACTATACTTCTACTATATTTTCTACTTAAAATGGTTAAAATCTAAGATTTATTGAGCTACTCATATAAAACGGTCGGAGTTTGCCTCTTAATAATCTTTCCCAGAATAAAATGCTAGACTATTCTATCACTAGCAAGGAACATTTCATGCTTTTAAAAAACACAACATCATAGATAAGACCTTTTCAGTATATAAGCTGTCTAGGTCCTTAACAGTCCTGGTGAGTTATCCATACTTGACCCCTGTAAAACTTTGGTAAAGCCTGGTAATAATATCAAACCCCCTTTAAATGAAGTGCAATAAATTCTTCTGATCGAGATTCACAGGAAAAAGTTCTGAGATTCAAGATTTGGGTTGACATCGGTTATTTTTTGGTAAAACATTGGGAATTTAATGGAAAATTGGTAAATATACCAATTTTGGAAAAGGAGATACACTTTCCAACATTGGTAAGTCATTTACAGAAATAAAAGATTAGGGCCATGTTCCCTTGCGCCTTTCCCACCTCAAAATTGCGCTCTATTCACTTCAATTGCGCCCTCCCCACTGCACATCGGGCCCTTCACACGAGAGTTACGCCCTCCCCACCAACACTTTGTACCGTCTCCACGGAAGGTTTGCGACAAAGGGATTGATATAATTTTTACATCTCTGTTTGAGAAATACAACGATGGTTTTTTTTATTGTTGGATGAATCCTGAATTTTCTACGGATTTTTTTTGTCATTTCTATCAAATTTGCATTAATTTGCATAAAATGTGCATAATGAGATATCTTTAAATGGTTATTTCTTAAGACTGAAGGCAGTTTTGAGTGTGAAATTTTCAGAGAAGGTGGAGTAGGAGGTGGAGTTTCTTCAGTTAAAAAAAACGCAGCTTAACCTTAAAAAAATTTGTTATTGTGGCGCCTCACTTTAGTTGTGATAAATTATTGCGCCCTGTTTGATAAGTCATTGCTTAGAACTGGTAAATATTTGACAAGAGAATCGAAGGTCAAACATTCCATATGAATTGTGCTTTTAGGTGACGTAAAACTGTTTTTGGCAAGTCTCGGTGTTTGGGAGTTATCGACCTTCAAATTGTGCAACACACTTCTTTCCATCTTCATATTTTGGTCTTATTTTGGCTCTTATGTCCTCTGTCGTGCATGCTTTGTTTACCTTGAAAGGTAGTCATTTGATTAACCTGTGTATTAGCTAAATTACAATCTGACTGGTTTTTAATTTGAATCGATTTACATAGAGTTAGAGATGTTTAAAAACGAGCCTGTTTTTTGGCATTTTGCCTTCACATTCCTTTATTGAACAAAGTAACCTGTTTAAGCGTAGTTTTCGTGAAATTGACGACGAATAAATTATGTTGATGCATTGTTGAGCTCTCTGGCTTTCTTGTGGTGTATTTGTTTTTGAACATGTACCGCTAAGTAGTAAAGAGTGAAGAGTTAGATATCTTCACGTATTTTATTTACAGACACATGTTTTAATGGAATTTTGGTCTCGCTTTGGCTCTTTTACTACTTGTGGATTGATATGATCATTATACCATTTTGTTACTCTTAGCTTTAGTAATGCAGTGGTGTTCTTTTTTTGGTTTTTGTCAAAGTCTTATTTTCTCAGAGATTTGCGATTTGCGTAAAAGGTGCAAATCATTTGTATAAGATTTGCATAAGAAGTTTTTAAATGGTGATTTCTCTGTACTGAAGGCATTTCTTGGGCTTAAATTTTTTGGGAAGATGGAGTAATAGTAGGAGAGACTTCATTTAAAAAATCTTGGCTTAACCTGTTAAATTTGTTTCTTATTGTGCTCCCTCGCCTTTTCCTTGAAATTGACAGACACATCTTTCCAGTTTCTTATTTTGGTCTGATTTGGCCCTAAATTTCTCCGTCGTGCATCCTTAGGGCTAGCCTAAAAGTTTTAAGTGATGAAGAGCAACATTCTTGCTAAACAGCCATGTCAATGGTGCATCGTTTGAGTAGATAGATATAAAGTTCAAGTTTTTTAAAAAGGAGACTTTGGTTTCCCGGTCCCCCCCCTTGCCATGTAAAACGACAAGAGTATTAACCTAAGATCTGAGAGAGTTCGTGGGGTACTCCTTCGGGGTTGGCTACCCCAACTGGCGTTTGATCCCTGATGAACCTCTTGAGCCAGGCAGACAGTAGGGTATCGTCGAGTAACCAGCTTGACTCATTGTTGTCAGGGTATATACATATATACACGGCAATGCTATTTACAATTATAAAATATATATACAACTTTATGTACAAGTCTGTGTACAAATAAATAAATAAATAGATTGGTGGATATTTACATAAAGGGTTGGAGAGATCAGAAGCATCAAGGAGGCCTGCCTCCTCCTGAAATAGTTTTTAACTTTCTCGTAGCACCTGACCTCTCCCTTCACTGCCAGGATGTGTTGTAACACGTCATCCTGGCAGAATTTATTGAGGAAGGCCTGCTTGGATGGCATATGTGGAATGTTTACAAAACGCTCCTCCACAGCCTGCGTGTGGGAGCTCAACCATGGCTGGCATGACGATGCTTGTGATGATGAAATGGTTGAGTTGCGGTTGAGTAAGTCAGACTCCGTGGTGAATTGGGAGGCCCTGACTGAGTTGGTGTGATAGCACACAAAGATACATATCTTCTTTACCGTGCTGATGTTTTTCAAGTATTGCTTAAGATGGTTGTCTGTTCGGCAGACTTTTTGGACCTTGTGGCGAGTTAGCAGCTGACCAGTAGCAATGAAGGATGAAAAGCCGGAGCCAGCACAACTTTATCATTGTTGGATAGCAACTTCGTAGGGTTCTCCTGAGGAAGAGCCAGCTTCCTGAGGAGGAGCCAGCTCCTTCTCGTCTAACCACTCTCCTGCCTCCTCTCCAGATAGTGTATGTAATGAATGAGTGGGTTGATGACTGGATTGGTGGGCCTCACCCAGGAACATGGCCTCTTCAGACCAGCGAAGATAGGTGACTTCGAACTTGTCCAGTGAGCATGCATCTTCTTTGGCCATGTCCTGGGCCACCCTGATGTCTTTCAGCAGAGAGTACGCCCCTGTACTCCTATCTGCATTAACCTGTAACATGTAGTTCTTATCCGCTGTGGCTTTGCAGTGCTTCATGTGGTAGTTGACAAGTCTTTTTAGCACTGCACACAGATCAAAAGCAGAAGTGGAGTGCATTTTGCGGATGGATGTCATTGTTACTCTTTGGTCAGGGCGCACCCCTGCTGATTTGAATATTTCGGTGATCTGTTTTCCAATAGTGCCAGCACTAAATTGCAGGCTGTTGTCTTTCATAAGTAGGTAGTCTTTCTTGTTGCCAGCAAACTGAGGGCGTTTGTATTTAACATAGATGCTGAGCCAGCAATGCAGCACCTTGTCCAGGACTATCTCTGCAGGGCCCTGGTTTGTGCGTTGTCTCATGGTGTTCAAAAAGCAAAGTCCACATTTTCGTGACCTGACAGAAGTCAGCCTGTTCAAAGTGCTGCACCAATGCATTCTTGAGAAGACCAGGCTGGCTGGCATTCTACAGGAGGCAGGTGGTAGTTAAGTAGTCCTGGGCTTGCGAGAAGTACTGCTTCGAGATGTTAGTTTTCTCCATCGCAGAACCCAGGATCTTTAGGGCCCTCCACACCAGCTTGGATGTCTCGAAGGAATTCATATCAGTAGGTGTTATTTATGAATAAGCCTAGTCCACAAGTTGGGTGTTTGACTGTATTGCAGTGCGGCGGTGTGCCGTCCGGCGATACTGCAGGACGTGTTGCCTCTACTCCGATCGCTTGACAGGCCAGGGGCACAGAACATGTCCCAGATGTCAAGGAAACTATTATCGAGGGGACAAGAGACGTCAGGGCCATTTTTGTCAAGTTCCTCCAACACAGTGTGGACCAGCCCCGTGTCGAGTAGGGCCTGCTTTGTCGAAAGGCTACCACCCTCCACATGGTGTGGATATTTTTAGCACTGGCTTACAAGATGTTGTCGCACAGTCTTGTGGTAGCCTTCTCCCAAAGCATAGTGGTCAGACCATGCGATATACTCCTCCTCGCCAACACTACTGAACTGCTTGTCCAACGAACAGTCCTCGTCTCAGCTGTTGTTGTCCCTACCTGGACCTCAGTAACTGAATCCTCGTCTGCCACCTGGACCTCATTAACTGCCTCCTTATCCGCCACCTGGACCTCATGTACTGACTCCTTGTCTGCCATTTGGACTTTCTTCTTCTCAAGGACGGGTTTAGAACCCTCGTCTGCCACCTAGACAGCTGATCTTTTTTTAGGGCTGGTGGGTGCCTGAAGGGTGACAAACCACACAGAGGCCTCTTTAATCTCTCTAGCGTTTGAGATCTTATGGTTGTGGCAGAGGTGCTACGCCTTGTGCGTCACCACTGCAGCACAGCCAGGGAGGGCACACTGGTAGATTTAGGTGCCACCCTGCACCTTGCTCTTGTCAGATCGGAAGACGGCCCTATTCACAGCCTCCAGGGAGGGCATATGCTTGGCATGCATAGTGCAAAGGTGCCTATTGAGATTGGTTCCAAAAAGTCGCATAAGTGGCACTTCCTCCGCCTGTGGTGTGAATTAGGTGTTTTACAGGGGCTCCTAGGATGGAGAGGGGGGTCTACCTTTTTTGATGGACTCTTAGGCTCACACTCCTTTCCCATGTCCGCCACCTGGCCTCCAACTCCTGCACATCTGCCACATGGACCTCCAACTCCCACGCATCCGCCACCCAGATCTCCAGCTCCCGCACCTCTGCCACCTAGACCTATGACTCCCGCACGTCCACTCCCTGGTTCTCCAACTCCCTCATATCCACCACCTGGACCTTGCACTCCCTCGCATCCACCATCTGGACCTGACATTCATCCCTCCCTTCCGCCTTCTGGGCCCCCTTCGTTTTCAACTTATCCTCTGCATTGCAGACACCTTTCATCTCTAGGAGTAGGCCCTGGATGCTTGGTGCATAGTCAGGCTCAACTGTAAGTAGCCTCAGCTCCAGGCCATATTGTGTCTGGCTAAGCCAGTCCAATATGGTACAGCTGCCATTTCACTTAACACACGTTGCTGTATGTAAATCGCAATGGGTGTGACTGGATTTTTGCGTTTAATAAGTCAACAACAAGAACAACCATCCATCCCATTAAAAAAATTGTTCAACATGACTGTCTTCCCTATTCAATCTAGACATAGGGTCTCTACTACTCAAAAAGGATAAAGTAATTAATTTAGAAAAACAAAAAAACCGTAAAAAATTCGGGTTTCAATGTTTTATCATGCAAGTCAGTGATACTGAGAGTCATCTGCAGCCTAAAAAAAAAATTTTCCACATAACCGTCTTGCCCACTGGGGGGTTGAAAAAAAACCGGAATTTCGCTAAGGGTAACTTAACCGAACCCCAACTAAAACCTTAACGGTTATCTTTGATTACCGTGTATAAACGGCTTTGGATTAGCAAGATATGTGTCTGAACAGGGTGAAAATTTAAAGCCAAAATAAAAAAACCAACCTGAGCAATGCCCCGTTAGAAGGTGTATCAAAATCATCGTAAAATCTGCCTGAAATTGCGCCCTCCCCACAAAAAAACCGCAAAAAAAACCAATAAAAAACTTAGTATTTGATGGATTTTTCAAAACTTGAAAGGCAACTAGTTAGAGACAAGTGTTACCTAAAGTACTGTTGCATAACTCATTTTATCGTCTCAATGCATAGATATTCCCTTTAGAGGAGTTTGTCAGAAAACGGTGCCCTCCCAACCGAAAGATTTTTCAAGAAACAACTGTTTAAGGACCCCTGGAGCAGTCCAGATTTGAGTAAATCATTCCACATTTTGAGACAATATAGCTAAGATATTGTAGTATATGCGTTTACTTCAAATGTTGCAAAGTTATTGACCCTTAATGACGAAAATTGAAGTTTCTTACGTTTCTCAGTGAAAAGTCAAGAAGACCTCTTGAAATCGTCTCGTGAATTGAACTTAGGGTTTGCAGCGTGTCTAAGGAATGTGTGGATGATGAACAAAACATCGAGGTTAAGCAGGGTTAAAAGGAGCTCTTGCTAGCAATCATATAGGCAGTATAAGGTTCAAATTTGGACTTTTGACCCCAAAATATAAGGGAAATAAGAGCACATTATGCTCTCTCCATAAATCTAGCTTAAAATGTTCATATCTCAAAGAGATAAAATAAAAATTTGACCCAGATTTAGGTACAACCTATACATATGCTCCTTAGACCTTTGGCTTAAAGATAATGCAAATTAGAGAAAACCCCTATGAGTTACAGGGCCTCAAAAATAAAGTGGGGGTACAACATTAGGAACCTGGTTGGAAATCTATTTTGAATTTCCAGTGTTGGTAATTATTAAAAGAGTTTCCAACATGGGAAAGAGCAATACCAGGGTTGGAGTTTTTCTAGATGTTCCAACTTGGGAAAGAGCAATACCAATGTTGGTTATACTTAAAATTGTCCAACATTGTAGAGACCATTACTAAGGTTGGTTATTGTTATAAATAATTGCCCAACATTGGAAAGTGCATTACCAAGGTTGGATTTTTCTAGTCGTTCCAACTTGGGAAAGAGTGTTATCAGTGTTGGTTATTCTTAAAATTGTCCAACACAGTAATGAGCATAACCAAGGTTGGTTGTTGCTTCACAATGTCCAGTAGTGAAAGAACATAACCAAACAGCATGTATTAACCAAATTAGCTTAAGAAAACGTCTAAGAAAAAATAATAAAGATCACTTTTAATACCTACTCAAAAACAAAAGGAACTATTCTGTTCCTTGCAATAACATTGCCACTGCAGAAATACCATGAAAAGTACATTTCCAATGTAATAATTATATTATCATCATATAAAAGTGGTAAAAAATCCAACATGAACAATATCTGACTCCTCTCTTATGCTGCCACACAAATGTGGCAATGATCAGTGTCCAATGTTATATCACTTGCAAAACATTGATGTATTAAAAAACGGAAACAAAAACTGTCTCTTTCTATTTACTCGCATGTCACCACAGTAATTAACTTATGTGATAATCAACAGTATCCAATATCACAGTGTCTAGGTTTCAATGTCCAGAATTGTTTTCTGCAGTGTTACCCATCAAATGAATCTGACACCAGGGAATCAGTTTTTTTACTCACAGACTAGAAGAATGTGAAGAGGAACAACTGAGATCAGGACTGCTGTTAGATGAAGCGCATGAAGATGGCCGATGAAACTCTTTGATAATGATTATTTGTTCCCTTGTTAAATCTCTGAAGTTTATTGGTGACTGAATTCGAACATACACTTTAGATAGATAGATAGATAGATTCTTTATTGAAACACATTGCAGCTCGTAGAACTGAATTACGTATTTTCATTTAAATTCTGAGTGTACAAGCTTACAAATTGAATAATACCTAAGAGCTAATGACAGTAATATCTAAAACATTTAAAAACAATGAACATCTTGTTGAAATCATATTGTTAAAAGTCTCATAATTTAAACAGTACTCACTAGGGCGCATGAGGCTATAGTAAAACTATTCTTAAATCTGTTTGTTTTACAGCGCGACATGCTGAAGGATCGCGCGTGCCTAAGATTGTACTTGCTCTCATGTAGGGGCAGCATTAATTTCCTGAGTTTATGGGCACTGTCATTGAAAATAATTTCAAGCGTACACTTGCAAATATCACTATGATGCTCTGCTACACTTCCTTTACAAGAGAAATTGCAATTTTTCTGGCCAATTCATACTTTCCACAACCTTGTGACTCGATCTGCAGTACTTTGGCTGCTTCAGTGAGGTGTTTTTTGAGGCTGAGATTTCTAAAGATAAGAACAACAAATACAACGGCACATACCAGCTGTGCACTATAATCTGACATTTCATCCACGTTTTTGCTAGGCTCAGAATTTTCATCAGGCTCTTCAGGTACCTCTGTATCTGTTTAAGCTACAAGCAAAAAGGTAAGAGTCAGGTAACTCACTGTGAAGTAGATGAATGCAATTTGCTAAAATTCAGACAATGAATCTGGATGTAATTCAACCTTTAATAACATTTGTACAGGTGTACATGTAATGACTGCTACTTATTAGTGACTTCACAGAGGTACAGAATTATTAAGGATTACTTGGCATGTTTTATATTGGCAATATGTCTTGTTACTAGGTTTACAATGCAATTGATTGGAATGCCATGATTTCAAACTTCTTCATTTAACTAACTTTTCTAAGTAGTGTTTTCTTTAATTCACAGCATAATTAAGCCAATATTTCATATATTTTGATTAAGGCAATATATGTTGAGGTCCAGGATGGCCTGATATTGTTTTGCTACAAGTACTTAATTTTATTTTGTTATATGTTATCAGGAAATTTAATTTGTAACGATGCCTGTAGGAGTTATCTAAGCTACAATTTTGCTCTTGCCTGTATTAACAGCAGACTTACATGACCTCATTTATCATCATTAACTTACCAAGAGCTTCGCTCGTTTCTGCTTCATTTGAATGGCCCTTTTGGTTGGTCTTCTCGATCTCTATTTAAGCAAAAAGTAAAGTATTTATACGGGCCCAAGTGGCCCATGGGGCCAGTGCTTAACTCCGATTTTCTTAGCATGAAGCGGCTAGGAGTATTGCTACTCCCCCCTAGATGGGATGCTAGTCCATCGCAGGGTTACCCCCAGCACATTTGCTGGTACCCATTTGTACACTTGGGTGAAGAGAGGCACTGTGAGAGTAAAGTGTCTTGCCTAAGAACACAACACAATGACCCCGGCCAGGGCTCAAACCCAGACCACCCGATCCGGAGTCGAGCGCACCAGCCACGAGGCCACCGTGCCTCCTATTTAAGCAATAAGCCCAACAAAAATTGTCAGTTATGTAACACTTTTAGTTCAAACAGAAGTATTACGATAGTTATGAAGCCAGTATGTACGTTATAGGAAATTGTACGTGCTTGTAACAAAGAAATATTCTTTTCAAGTACCTCAAAATGAAACCCATCAATAAACTTTCGATTCGTTTCATTTACCCATTGTAAGATGTGGCTTTGTATAGCTGCTGAAAAAAATCAGAGAAAAATGTAAGGTTTAATATAAGGAAAACTGGTCATTAGGCCACTGAATTGTTTTTGTAAATTGCTTCATTTGCATTTATTCTCTCTGGAGGAACGCTAAATTCCAGTCTTGATAATGATGTGAGCGATTACCATACTGGTTAAATTTCTATAAGCAAGTCTCGTACAGCTAGAATCCATAATAACATATATTCTTGTTGACAAAAAGCCCAATATATTATAGTTGAAAATCAAAATTGTTATAACAAAATACTGCAAGGGTAGCAGCTTTCATCAAAGCTACACGTTGGTTGAGGGGTTAATCTTTAAGAGTAAGTGTCAATAAAAATCAGATTATCGAAAAAGTCGCGGACACGGTGAAAAATCGATTTGGTTCATCTTTTGTCTGTGGGTAGCCTTATCTACTAGACAAACGGAAATGGGTTAGATTTTTGAAATATGCACTTTAACAGGAGTAATTTTTTTAAACATTTCCGGGGGTTAATAGCTCAGATTTCACCCAGTGCGATCGTGAAATTATGCACTTTTCGGACACTTGTCATGATAACAAAAATGTAACGAAAGGACTTTTCTAGTTATAGAGATATTGAGTTGGACTTGCATCATTGAGAGACAAAGTGATAGTTTTTGTTTTTATTCTTGGAGGAGCTACGTCTCTATTAGGAGATGACATCTTCGGCCTTTTGAAATTAGGGCAAAGGTGGCCTAGAACAGCTTGGCAAAAATACATGTGGTAGTGTCTCAAAGTTTACAATAACACTACCAAGAAGCCTTGAAGGATAGTTCTTTACGATTTGGGTTTTATTTCTTTGGGACCTTTGACTATCAAAATATGACCACCAGCCGAATTTTGGTTTAATAACAATGACGTCATAATGAGATACATAATAACAAAATTAAACATGTTGGACACAAATAACTGTCTTGGTCAATGATATCTTCACTGGCCATTAAAATGACTAGAAACATATTAAAATGTCTGTAACTACACTTGATTTTTATATACAGAGACGGGAGAAAAAATTTTCGACTTTTGCTTCCCTGAGAATCGCGCCATAATTCTGCATAATTCTACACACAACAGGTTAAACAGTTGAATCGCAGTCAACAGGTTAAATTTGCCACAAAGCCGTTAGTTTATGTCTACTTCTCATCCGGTGAACATGGATTCGAGCATTTGCATCCCATTTGCACTCTCTGCACTCGCCAGTTTTGAATATACTGAAAATCATCCAACACAAAGATGAGGAGGTTTCGCAAGCAGTGGCGAGCTCGAGTTACTGAAATCCAATATGTAGGACTGCTGTCACGCAACGCCCTCTTGTAAATGATACACACACCACTTTTAGAATAAGTGGTTCAGTTATTCGTAAAATGTTCAGTGCTCAGTTACTTGGAAGAGCAGGTACACTCCTGGACTAATTGTGTGAGTCGTGGGATGAATGGCTTTTTCCTCTTCTGAGGTGAAATTTCAGAAATATCTAGCCCAAGGTCGATGCATATGTCTCTTAGCTTCTCCACTCTTAAAGTTGTGAGTGTACGTTTTTGTACAAGTTCGCAGATGTTAAGATCGAAAGATACAATCGGATGCTTAATAGCCACATCTCTCATCACATTTGCACACACTGCAGATAGATGACTCTCAGCTTCGGCGGAAATTTCGTCCTCATCGACGCTCACCATGTCCACTTCTGAGACTTCACTAGCTTTTGCTTCGTTACCGGCGGCTGTAACTTCTAATCGCTTTTTTGCTGAATGATAACTGAAGAAGCCACTGATCTGCTGCTAGGTAAGGACTTCATCAGGTTGAAATCGGCGTCCCACCGCTTGGTCTCTTGCTAGGCTCATGGTTTTCGAAACTTCATGTGGATCGCTTTTCTATCCACTATACACCTCTTTTTGAAACTGGTCAGTTAAGAATTCGGTCTGTTTCTTTGTAAAATACTTTTTTCTTAATTTTCTTCAGGGCCCAACCCATTGAAAGAGGCGGCAAGCCATCACTCTTTGAACTTGAACGCTTGGTATTCGACTGTGTTCCTCTGCCAGCTTGGAGGAATATTCTCTTTTAGCTTTAACGTGGAGAGTTTCCTATTCGAGCATCATTTTGTGTTTTCCAGTATCTAGGTGTGTCTGGAGGTTTGCAAAGTGACTGTATGCTTTTACACATCCTTCTTCGGGACATGGGAAAAGCATGTCATCTTAAGTATATTTCCCAATTCAGCTTTGATCTTGATTTTCGCTTTCAGTTGAGAAATCTGTTCTGACAGAGCTTTTCTTAATATGTTGGTGTCTCCCAATCTTGAACGTTAGTGCGCCACTTGGATTCTGTGATAAGGAGTCTAGGGTTTCCAAATTTTCGGGCTGCTTCATGACTCCTTCGAACTTGGCCCATGGCACTACTTTACCATAACCCACATTGAATGCCCTCCACTCTCGTGCGGCACTTTCATCATATTCACAATTGCTGAGTAAGCTTTGCCATCCCATTTGACATTAAAGATCCTTGAAGGTTTGGCAGCAACATAACTTCCTTTCACTCCTGTGGTTCCTTGACCAGCTTCAATGGCTTTTTTGAACTGTAGAACGTCGATGACATCATTGCCTTCGTTTACATACCTTCCAATGTCTCCCTTGATTGTTGTCGCTTTGCGATCACATACCCCCTTTCCACCTTGTGTTCAAAAATTCATTTCTTACAACAGCCACTCCCACGGCATCACTGGCCAGCTTAGCTGAAATGATCGAATTTCCTCTTTGCTCTGGAGTCCAGCTTTTCTCATCGCTTTTTATTTTCACTTTCATGTCTGTGTGAGACATACTTTACAAACTTTCCCTTTGTTGCCTTTCTTTTTTGTCTGAAACATTCAGTCTCCATGCTATATGTAAGTTCAAGCAATTTTCTGTATTCCAAATTTTTCATTTTCATTCCTGAGAGCTTGATTAATTTGTTAATTCCGAGTTAAAGTATAGGTGCTAGAAACGTTCAATATGACTCCTCGTGAGCTCACCTGTGTCGTTATAGTTATGTGTGGTCGCTTGGTGATAAAATTCCACCATGCATATTGCAGACATAGGGGGCGAAGTTAGCATGAAGAGTAGATCAGACTTGTGTGGGAATCTCAGGGATTTCGAGGTCAAAGAACCTCTGTGAAACTAAAGTATTTATGTGCAAATGTAAACCCAAGTTTTTAGGTAATAAGTGATTTTGCTGATCAAAATTGAGGATTGTTGTTGCCATTCTGGGATAAGTCAGTCGTTTTACATCAAGTCGTCTGTTCTGAAATTAATCAGTTTCGAGAAATTGAAAACCAATGAAAGGAAAGGTCTCTTTCGGACAAACAACTTTCCATTTGAAAATAATTTTCTGAAATTTCTTTCCCACTCCTCTCACTCCAGGTTGACGTCTTAAAACAGTATTTTGGCGTGGAAAATGGCGCATGCAGTAATCTTTCATGCATAGTCAGCGGCTTTAACCTGGCGCCCACGATCTGTTTGGTCAGTGCATGTGTCAAAGAAGCATCAGGGTGAACGTGAATGGCGAACGCGATCGATGGATGGACTTGATTTAATTAGATATGCAGCCAACAGAAGAGATTCTAACTAGCTGTTATTGTCAAATAACTCCTGATGCAAGAGAGATCAGGAAACTTGGAAAACCTCATGTACACTGCCCATGCGACAAATGCAATGGAAGAGCAACTTAGCACAGAGACACTTTCAGAATTTACAAGATAAAGAGTTTTTAACGCGGCCTTCACCAGTAAAGAAAGTACGAAAAACATTTGAAGAACCAGAGTGCTTAACTTTAGAACCTCTTGTGGAATATGAAGAACTTAAGGAAAAATTTCCGCACAGCCCCATACTTCATTATGCATGCACATCTTATTAATTATGCATTCTACCCTTTGTCTTTGAATACAATAGACAATTCCCTTGGTAATTGAATATATACATCCCTAATTATTACTTACCGCACTAATAAAAGAGGATTTTTTTCACAGCGTTCCTTTCCGCGCTGTTTTCCCCTCTCTCTCTCTCCATTTTCACCTCTTTCTCTTTCCCATTTCTCTGGCAGGCATCCTTCCTTCAAGGCCCCTCTCAGTCTATTGTTACCTGCAGGGTTCGAACTCTCAATTCTTTATCGTCTTCGTCAGACTAGCAGTCTACCCTCTATACCATTGTTCTACATCTGCTTCTTGCCGATAAAGGGTAACTTTCAAAATTATATTTCTAATACCTTATTCAAATTCCAAAAATTAACACTGAAATCATTTTCCTCACTTTTAAAACATGTTGGATTTTGCACGAAGAAATGAGACGTGTCACCGCGGTCGCTACGTCGAAGGAAAGTGGGTCTTTGATGGCATTTGCCGTGAAACCAAGGCCTGCATCCTTGTACCGGTAGAGCGCAGGGATAAAGATACGCTCATACCCGTTATGCGCGCTCAAATATTGCCGGGAATATGCGTGATGAGCGACATGTGTTAAGCTTATGATTGCCTACAGGACGAGGGCTACAATCATCTCACAGTGAACCACAGCCTAAACTTCGTAGACCCAGACACAGGCGCTCATACTCAGCGCATTGAAAATACACGATGTGGAATCAAACGAAGTATACCTTGTACAGGAATATCCAAAGATCTCTTCGGTAGCTACCTACAGGAGTGGTTGTGACGTAAGCAATATGGAGAAGATCCTCTTGGAAATATAATCGAGCATATCGCCGAAGTATATGATGTTCGAAATACTTCATAAAAACTAAGCTCCTCGTGCCTCTGTATGTGCTGGTGCCTGTCTACACAACCACCGCGGATGAAAATAAACATTCAATGAAGAGAGAAAAATAAGCAACTCTACTGTTAAAGAGAAAAGGAGAAACGACAACGACAAGGAACAACTTTAAAGGTGAGCATCGATTTTATTTTCATCGTTTTACGAATGTTTGCTTTCAAAAACAACAATTTTGAGGCTAATATGAGGCGGAATTTAAGCTTTTTTGATTTATAGATTTCATAAAGCATAGTAATTTTTTATCTGACTGTTATATATTTTAAATCAGCGCTTGATTAAGCGCAATTTTTAATTAAAAAACGGCGATTTTTTTTAAGGTTTGAGTAAAGACTTAAAAAAAAAAAAACTTCTTGAAAACAAAGCGAATAGTCCCAAAGGTAATCTATTGTTTGCGCTATTGTTTTCTTCTAACAAAGGACTGTATGCATAATGAAGTATGGGGCTGTGCAGAAACTTTGCCGAACTTAATTTTGATCCTGAACAGGATTTTGGTTTGAAGTCAGCCAAAGTGAGTTTGCACATACTAGTGATGTTTGTACTGGAGCTGACCGTTAGTACGAGGACCATGAAGATGACAGAACATCCATTAAGGGAAGTAGTGGTGATGATTCAGTACTGCTTGATAGTGATTATGAAGAAGGTGTTGACGGTGATGATGAGACAGAACGTAAATAAATTCGTACAGGAAAGCATTCTTCACTTGATGGAAATGAAGCAGAAAATAGGATGTTCCATGAATCATTTTGAAGAGCTCCTAAAATGGGGTAGAGACTTGCATAAAAGTGGAAACATCAATGCTGCAATTCACTGGCCAAAAAAGTGGGATGAGGTGCAATCATTGCTTAAGGAACTGGGCATTTCTGAGCCAAACCATCTTTGGATTTGTTTTAGCAAAGACCTTCCTTGTCATCATTATGGGCTGATGGAATCAAAAAATGAACTTTGTCCCCATTGCTTTCATTGGTCACAACATGATCATTGGCTTCCTGATGAGATAAAGACAGTTGGGGGTGGCCAATAAAACCTGAAATTTGGAATGGAACAAGGTCTGCTAATCTTTCATATTTTTGGGATCCAAATGCAGTGTGGACACTCTCTATCAGGTGCAGATATTCTAGTTACAATAATGTCATTTCTGCTACTGAAATGATCACTTCACCTGAAGGTGGTGGTGGACTGGAAAGGATTAAGGGTTCATCTTGTTTTACAGTATTCAACCATTCTCCAAAAGGAACACAGGGAGATCCTCATAATATTGCTTATTGTGGTTCGTACCAATAACCTGCAACGTAGTTTCTAGTTTTGCTGTTAATGTACAGTATATAATATAATAATATTATAACTCCAGCTATATCTGTCGTGTTTTTGCAATATATACTGTTTTGGTGGTTGGACAGTCTGCCAGAATGTCCAGGCTCTGCTAAACATCATGGTTTCCTATAACATTTGGCAAATGGTAAGAAATATTCCTTTCATTTCCTTTTCTTTAGAGGATGCTACGATTCAAACGTTTTCTGAAAGTTTCTAGTATAAACATTTACATATGATAGTTTTTTATGAAGTTCTATACATTTTTAACATCCATAGATTATCAAATAATAGATTATACTCATACAAGTAGAGTCTCTGCTTCTGTAGTAAAGATCTGAATGATTATGCAATCTTCTACTGTTTGACATTTGTGTTGACAAAAACAAATGTACATGTTGTGGTTCTATCTTTTTCCTTGGTTTAAAGTTGATTTCCTTTGTTTTTGTATATTGTAATGTATTAAAATGAGTTTGAAACAAAGGAAAATAGAATTTAAACTAAGAATAAAAATTAACGACAACATGCATGTGATTTTCAAATTTAACCTAGAAAGCTTAGCATCTCTGTTATTTGAATATGAAAATCTGTGCAGCAAAATTAATAATTTAACCTGTCAATGTGTTTTTAGGCCACTAGGATGGTTGGCAGCCATTCTCTGGTACCATTCGGGGATGTGGAGCCATAAAGGTCTCAATAGCCATTATGTCAAAAGCACATCACTGTCACACTGATGAGATATACGTGGTTGCTTTTGTCCCAAGTTACCTCATTCCACAGATGAGAAGCCAGGCTTTAGACCCTTTTCTTGAACCACTGATCAAGGATTTAGAGAAAGGATTTATCAATGGAATTCCTCTTAACTATGCAGCTACTGTTACTGGCATTCCTCCAGGTCCAACTCGTATATGTCATTTACTGCTTTGTTGGAAAGGAGATCACAATGGACAATGTGAAGTTGGAAATTTTATGTCTGGTAAAAAGGGATGCAAATGGTGTAAATTACAACGGGTGTTTCTGCAAGCTTCCAATCACTACTATTACCTTGGTTTTAGATTGCAAGGTAGATTTCCAATGGAAGACAATTCCATACTTGACAGTCTGGAAATCTTAAAGGAAATAGAGGAAGAAGAGCAGATCACTGTTAAGCAGGAAAAATCCAGAAACACTGGGTATATAGGATTGGAAATATTTTATAGACTGTATCCCCTTCATCAATTTCTTTACGATAAAAACTTTGTGTATGACAAAATGCTTGGGATTCCCTTAAACGTTGTCCAACAACAGATTCGACTAGAAAGTGATGACAAAGACCTTAATTGACAGGTAGTTGATGAGCAACTCCAAACGTTCCCATGGACTCATGAGCATAGGACAGGAAGGTTGCCTTCAGGTCTCACGAAGCGATTTGGTCATTGGGAAGCAGAAGATTTCAACCACTTTGCATTTCCTGCCATGGAATCCTGCTTAGGTGGCATGCTGCAAAACAACACTGAAACTAGGGAAATTCTTTGTTGCCTTGCCTGTATTGTCAAATCTCTTGGTAATCATGCAATAAATGGCTGGAGTCAAGCTGATGCTTTTACATTTCATGAAATGTGTGTGAGATATGTTGTACTGGTAGAAGACTCCTCAGGTATTGAAAACTGTGTAAGCACATTATACAATCTCCTGCATTTCAAGGATGACACTACTCGTTTCAGCTCATTAGATGATTACTCATGCTGGACAGAGGAACGGACTGTTAGGCAGCACATTCTTGCCTCTAACAACCACAAAAACATTGAAATTACTTTTGCTTTAAGTGAGGCAAGGCGGGAATTTCTTAAACTGCGGGAACGATGTTTTGATACTCCTAAAGTCCTCCAAGCTGACTTTTCTAAGGTAATTAATTAAGTACCAAAAAACCACATAAACTGTGTGACCTTTTCTGTCACTGACAATAATTGATTGATAGTCAGATGTATCAGATGATTCAGTATGGGGTGCAGGCCTTGTTGTGCTCGGTTCATATCATTGTTGTTTTCTATTGAAAAAAACTGCTCTATTGAATCATGGAGCCATCACTCAAGGAAGTTAATTCCACCCTTTCAGCAAAGTAGGCATGGCTGCAAGTAAAGTACTGAGTTTCATACAAGCTTAAATTTCAGTACTCTTTTGAAAATCTTCCAAATTTTCCTATTCCAATCTATGATCTCTTTTGTGTGCATGTAAAAGAAAGTTATGTTTGAGTCATTGTTCACTTCAAAAGGTTTTATTTTCTGATGATATTTTCCTAATACACTCTGGCCATTAATATATTCAAAATTTAAAAAAAAATGTAATCATTAGAATAAGTTTGAATTTGTAAGTATGGCTGGAAAAATTTACTACGGTTATTCTTGAGCAGAATTCTACAGACATAATGAAACTTCTTTTTTTTGGACCAAAGATAGAGTCACAAATCATATCTGATTGTAAAATTGTTTTGATTGAGAGGTTAAATTTAACACATTAATTTAACAAATAGAACACCATAGGATAAAGCTTTGTACAATGCGGACATTTCCTATGTTACACATAACCATATGTACCGTTTAAAAGAAATGTATAACTGGATTCATTAGTTATTTTAAAGTACTTGTTTTAGGCTTAGCATCTGTTAATGCAGGGTAAAGGGAAATGTTATATGTTCCATAGAAGTAAAGGAGATCCGAGACTTGGATTAAGTGTGATAAACATTTAAGGAACTAAAGTGCTCCTTTGACTACATGGTATTTGTGGTTAATTTTCAGGAAGCTTAACACCCTTAAGTCTCAATGTGAACAGTTTCCTCAAAATGAGATTTTTTCCTTAAAAAAAAAAAACAAACAAAACCTCCAAGAGGACAAAGTCCTTCAAACAAGGAGTGTATATCACAATATATGAGAAATAGTAATAGATGACACAAGTAAAGCAGGCCATACTGTATGTGCAACATCAATCCTATAACTCCCAGGAGTGACCAAGACATAATTTCTCCTTACAACATCTGTACAATATTGACAAGATAGGTGATGAGAATAAAGAAAAAGATCAATTGGGGGATAATTAGTTGATCCAATGCTAAATTCTCTGAACTAACATTATAAGAATTGTATGTTTGACAGTGAATAGAATAACAAATTTGCTCTGGGGGTTAAAGGGTTAACTTTTAATTTCAAATCATAACTAGTACTGCATAACACCAACAACATGTACATCAGTTACTGGAAAATTAAAAATCCACAGGTAAACAAAAACAAAGGTGTGGCTGACCAGGGTCCCTTTAATAGCCTTTTATTCACAATTGTCCTCCTTTTCCTTTTTTCAGTCGTTCACCTGTCCTTCTTTTTCCTTTTCCTTTCAAGCTTACTATGTTCCTTCTCTTCATCTCTATGTTCCCTCTTTCTCTCTTCTTCTTCTTCCTTCTCCTCGTCTTCAATGTCAATTTGTCTTTTGTCTACTTCCTGTCCATCCTCTGGAACAAAAATATAATTTTA